TGTCACAAAAACATACTTCTTTGTATAAGGATTGTTATGTAAATGCAGTTGTCATCGTAATTTACAATTATTGATCTGTCTAAGTGTTATTTTTTCAATAAATGTAAATATCTTGTTTGGTAAACAAAGGATGTAATTGAATCTGTAAGTTAAGACAAGTATGCGAAAACTACAGTTTTCCATTAGCTCAAGCCTAAATTATATTGTATGTAATGTAGCTTGTTATATTTCGTTATTTTTGTCACGTAAAAACATTTAAATTCTGTATGATGTATAAACATAAAAAAATTTAACAACAAATTCATTTGAAAGTAAAGTTTAGACATTGGTACGGTCGACATTGGTACATTATCATTGGTGAAAATGCACATGCACATTAACATTAATGCGGCTATGTTCAGTTCAGTTCAGTTCAAAAATCTTTATTCACATAAAAAACATTTTTTTATACAAATATTCAACCATGTGTTGTAAAACACGTGTGGTTGAAAAACTTAACACTGTCTTGAGTAGGTTCATTTTATTTTAACTGTCTTTTTTATGTTTAACTTTAAATTCACTGTCACTGATACCTTATATCTAATTAGATTTTTCTCAAACACTTATGGTTCATCCCTTCACTGGCTATTCACTCTTACATACTATTTTATATTTACAAATCGTTTAACGGTATATGCTACATTCGATAATTAATTATTTCACTTTGTTTGATTGAGTTATTCTTTATCAATTCCTTTAATTTATTTTTATATAATTCAATTTTCAAATCCTGCATATTTTTGAGTACTCTAAAATTAAAGTTGAAACATTTTACTACTTTATGGTAACACTGTAACCTGCTTGTGTCTTTCATAACAGGTGGTATCATAAGCATACCCTCAGTATAGTTTCTCGTACTCCTATTAATAACAACTGTTTGAAATAAACTAGTAAACTTTTTATCCTACTAATATTATAAATGAGAAAGTTTGGATGTATGGATGTATGGATGGATGTATGGATGTATGTTTGTGACAAGTGAACGCGAAAAATACTGGTCGGATTGGGCTGAAATTTGGCATGATGATAGCTCACATTCCCGATTAACATATAGGCATATTCTTAGTTCAAAAATCCTTTCGGGCTCCGCCCCAGTGGCTCTGGAGTTTCCCATGTTAACCTTATGAGAAATGGAATTATTGAATCTTAACAGCTGTTTCAATTAAACAAGTTGGTTCTGTTCTATGATGTTCAATGGCATTAAAGTTACAAGGATTACCAACAGGGTGCAGCACTATTATTTCTTTTACATTTATGACAACAGCTAATTTGCAACCAAAAGGTGAGTGAGAGTAGCGAACGAACTTCAACCTGGAGGCGAGTTAGCGTAGCGAACGAGCTAACCTGAAGGCAAGTGAGTGCAGCGAACGAGCTCCAACCTAAAGGTGAGTGAGCGTAGCGAACAAACTTCAACCAGGACGTGATTGAGCCATGCGAACGAGATAATCTTGAAAATTAAGAAGTTAAACGGGACAGAGCCCGCGGGTTACAGCTATTTGAATATAAATATATCTTCTCTAGCTGCATTACGTCCAAGTACTGAAACAGTGGTGCAGCTGAGTCAAATTTCTTTACACCACAAATAGTTTTTAATGTAAGCTTTTGCATTATTACAATTGGTTTAAGTATTGTTGAAAACGTCCCTCCCCAATTAATTAAACCATACTTAAGAGTAGATTCAAACCAGGATAAATAGCGTTCTAAGAAGTTTAGGAGTAATAAACTGTCTCAAATGAAAGAAATTATAGTTAATTTTTCTACGTTTTTTACATAGTTGATTAACATGTGTATGCCATTTTAAATCTGAATCTATATGAAGGCCAAGATACTTGACCGAATCAACAAAATTTATTTTTGTACAGCAACAATCACGAAAACAAGTAACTAAATGACAACGTAGATCGATCTCTTCTTTCAACGACTCTGTCAAATGAGGTTTGTAAGTAAATATCATTGCATTAGATTTAAAAGTATTGACGATTAATTTGTTTCTTATCACCCAATTTGATATTACGTCCAAATCATTATTAATTTTCATCCTCAGTAAATCATAATTGTTAGCACTGCATACTAAAGATGTATCATCAGCAAAAGCATATATCTTCGATTTTAAATCCATTGATAACATGTCATTAATATAAATTGTGAATAAAATTGGTCCAAGCACTCCCCCTTAAGGGACGCCAAGCCTTTGAGAACATACATCTGAGTAAACGTTTTTTATCTTAACCATCCGTTTTCTTTCATTTAAAAAAGTCTCAAACCACTTAAAACTATTTCCCTGAATTCCATATAACTTTAGTTTATGTAATAATATGTCTTGATTAACTGAGTGAAATGCCTTAGTAAAGTCAAGATAAACTCCTATTGTTGGTTTACGCTCATCAACATGATTAACTATCTCGCTTATATGTCTTTCAACTGCTAGGTCAGTATTTTTACCTTTCATGAACCCAAATTGATTATTTGAAAATAAATTGTTATCTGAAAAATATTTAACTAATTGGCTTTTCACACAAGTTTCTAACAGCTTAGCAAAGGTATTTAAAAGTGATCGGTCGGTAATTATTCATTTGCAATGGATCAGCTGCCTTATATACTGGAACAATGAGTGCTGTTTTTAGACTAGAAGGAAAGTAACCTAGCTTTATACATAAATTAAAAATGTGACGTAATATTGGGACAAAAATCTTAACATTTTCTTTTATAGTATTTATGGAAATACCATCAAAGCCAACAGACTGTTTATTTGGTTTGCTTAAGATTAAACTTTCTAATTCTACCTCAGTAATTTCAGATAAACGTAACCTTGAGCTGCACGCTAGACCGATATCCGGCATGGCGGGGAATCCCGGCCCATACAATTCTCTAATCAGCTTATCCGGCATACCAGTAAAATTGTTATTGAATGAGTCAGCAACTATTTTTTCATTACCCTCAACCTGTACAATTTCATCATCTATATTAATCGATGTTAGTTCATTTTTTGACTTTCTCATAATAGATTTGCATATATTCCAATAAGACTTTGATGCAGCCCTTTACTGCTTCAATTTTAGATGAGTAATAATTAATTTTTTCCCGTCTTTTCAAATTAGAACATTCTCTAGAGAGTTCTTTATATCTATTAAACAAATGTATGTCATAGTGCTTTTTCAATCGAGAGTGAAGTCTGTTTTTTCATTTATCTTTTTAATTAGTGTGTCCGATATCCATGGAGTTCGATGCCTATTTTTACTGTTAATAGGCCTTAAAAAACTTGATTGCTCAATACATTTATTATAAATATCGTAAAAAACTGTTAGAGATTTATCAACATCCTCACAATCAAACACTGGCATCCAGCTCACTTCAGCCAACCTTCTTTTTAAAATTGAATGATCTACAGCCTTGACAAACTCCTCTTTCAAAGCACTATCACAACTTGTTACGCAATTTACATTAACTCCAGCATGATCAGTAAAGTCATAGTTTTCTAAATTACTATGAAAAATTAAATTAGTTTTACTTCTGATGAATACATGGTCTAAACACTTTACCCAATTTTCTCTCCCCCAAGTTGGCTCATTTATAAACGACTCAAAACCAAAAGAGTTCATTATACTTAAATAATCAATGACACTGTTATTTTGTTCTAAAATGCATAAATTTATATCTCCTAACATAATAGCTGTGTTTTTACAATTACTCAAAATACGTTGCAAATCATTGCGGAAAAAATAAAAATCATATTTATAGTTTCTATACAAAGCTATTAAGTCAATTTCAAAAGGTTTATCATTTATGGTAAAAACTAATGTCAGTTTAATTAATTCAACTTCACGTGACTGAAAGCGTTCATAATTTAAAGTTAAATGATTAGAAATATAAATTACCACTCCACCAGTCTATGTGTATAAGTTGAGACACGTTTGTAGAAAACACTAAAAAGGCAATCTTCTAAACAATTTTAAAATATTTACAACTTTAATTATATAGAAATGTTCATAACACAGTAAGTAATTCCATTAGTTGCATAAGCTTTTACGTGAGTCTTTTTAATTAATTGAAAATTAAGTCTGTAATAACTCTTAAAATAGCTCCTGTACCGGTACTTGATAATTGCTTGATTTCTAGCAACGAGTACACAAGTTAAAAATTCAACAATGCATTAACATAACAAGCTCTCTTTCACGCTGCAAGACTAGTAAACGGCAGAAGTAAGGCAGAACGGCAGAACTGCGGTATTGGTTTACCATACACGCCTGCAACGATGCGCTGCAAACCGCGCGACGAGTAGCTAAATGAACCGTAGAGTAAGTGAGCCTTCTAATATTTGTAGAGGGTTCACTTACTCTACAGATCATTGTGCCAATGAACTGTAGAGTAAGTGAGCCGTCTTCTATTTGTGTAATAGTTATCATGAAATAGGCTCGTATAGTATACGAGCCTACTCCTGTAATTTATTTAAATTCAGTATTTTGGCTCGTATACTATACGAGCTTATTCCTGAATTATTCAAGAATTCATACGCTTGGCTCATAGGCACAATGATCTGTAGAGTAAGTGAACCCTCTTAATTTATTTGATATTTTTGATCGGCTCGTATAGTATACGAGCCTGTAGTGCAAGTGAACCTTCAATATTATTTACGAAGCTCGTATAGACTATGATTTGTAGAGTAAGTGAGCCATGTGTTTTAAGAATTACATATTTGGAGGCTCATTGTGTCAATGATTCGTAGAGTAAGTGAACCCTAACCTCCAGTACTCGTCCTCCCTCACTTTTAGTATTAGCAAAGATTACATATAGCATATGTAATCTTTGGTATTGTATTAGTTATAGTTGCCAAGTTGCCTCGCTCTGGCTCGAGTCGTCAGTTTTAATTTTCTTTTCTCTCAGTTTCAGTTTCGTTTCAGTAGTTCGTTCAGTTCCAGTTGTTCAGTTCAGTTCATCAGTTGGAGTTGACTGTTGTTGTGTAATTTATGTGTCTGTTTCTGTTAGGTTAGTATTTAAGTTAAGTTAGTGAAAATTGAGTGTTGTGTTTATGGTTTCAAGTCAAATTTAGGCTAGGTATTATCATGATTTATCTATGGTATTATTTACAAATTTCAGTCATGTGAATTGTGGTCGGCTTAAGCCTAGATTTTCGCCGGATTGGTGATGATTAGGCCTATTCTAGGCCTACTTTGTTTACCGGTACCCAAGTTAACTTAGGCTATTGCGATTTCAGCAATTTTGGTAAGTTAGAGCCTAGGTAGGGTAGGGCCGGGCTGCACTTTACTTTAGGTCCTACACTCATTTGAATGAAAATATCAATTATTCGATTGTTTCATTCGATATATCGTTTGGTTAGTTAGGTTAGGTTAACCTTACCTAAGTTACCTAACTAACCTAACGATATATCGAATGAAACTATTGATTAACCCTCCGAATGTTAAGTGTCGCTTAATCGACGCACAACACACCCGCCGTGGTGTTATGCGTCGCTTTTGTGACACACAAAAATCGTTTACGGCGAAGGCTCTGGGACTGACTGAATCAGATTGAACTGGATCGAGATTGGTGTCGTTGTTTTCGGCAGATTCTGAGCTTTCTGCTGATGTCTGTTTCTAGACGCTTTTCATTTTAGTTCCGAAAATATTGTAGCAGACAGGTGACGTGCGTATTTGTAAACAACTTGGTTAACCTCGCACCGATGACCGATGTGTTTTATTACGTTTTAGTGTTAAAAATCAAAAGTAGTGATATACGTGGTGCATTATAAGAATATTTAAGTGATTTTTAAGGGCTGGTTGATGATCCTGAAGAAGTAGGTAGTGATATTGATGTAAATTATCAGCCAGATTCCTAGCTATGGTTAGGCTATGCATTCTTAGCTAAACGCTATGTACGAAATCTGTTTTTTGCCCATAACTTATTTATTTGCAAACCTACTTCCTTACATTATATTTTTTTTAACCCTTTGAGTGCCAACGTCCGGGGAACCGGACTTTTTAAAACGAGCCAAAAGTGCCGACGTCCGGCCGACCGGACGTTTTTAGAACGAGCCAAAAGTGCCAACGTCCGGCTGACCGGACGTTTCGTAATGATCGAACAGTTGTCATACAACAGAATGGATACTTGGATTCTTTTAACCCATATATTAACATTGAGTCGAAAGTTACTAGATGCGATACATCGATTTTCGTTGGTCGAAATATCGAAAATTCGATTTTTACAAAATTTTAACCTAAAAATCGCTAGATCGCGCTCGGCATTTTTAGCGCGACCTTTGGGAAAAATCATCGGCATTTTTTGAGCGTTACTTTTATTTCTCGCCTGGCACTCTAAGGGTTAAATATTTGTAGACCTATAGGCTAAATTATAACAATTTATTGAGCGCAAACATAAATTTTGTTCATTTATTTTATAATTTTTGAGAAATATTAACCCCACAAAAATTGTTGAACATTTTTTTTGTAATGTTTTATATGTTACATTGAAGCCCATAATTTCCCAAACAAAATGATATATAAAACAGTAAGTTATACTTTACATTGTTTTTAAGTTTCTAAGATACATTTTAATAAAACCCTGCGATTGCGCAATAAATGGGCGGACATTAAGACCAATACTATGGACACTTGGAGGGTTAATCGATATTTTCATTCGAATGAGTGTAAATTAATCCAATATATAGGCGGCCATTATTTTGCCCAAACAAGATTAGTTCTTAATCCTTTTCTCTAATACGAGCTAAGTTTAGGTCTAAGTTATGACTCAATTACTCGGTTATTGTATCAAGTATAACCTAGATTTATTGGCTATGTCTGTAATTTAAATGCTTTGAAAATATTAAAACAGATGGAATAGGCTAGGCCTATGGATCGTAAAGTAAAACAAAAATATCAATATAGGCCTACTTCAAAGGCTATCTAAAAAAAAACAACTATCAATAATAATGAGTGTGACTCCCCTTAACAGGAAAGTAGGCCTACCGTTAATTCTAATCTATCTCCAATAGGTTAAGGACTAGGCTAGGTTTTAGGTAGGCTATTTAAAAATTTCAGTTGTTAGGCTGTTAACGAATTATAATCTATTCATTGATATTAAAGCTTGGAATTGTTTTTTTTTGGTTTCATTCTAAGGAAATTTATTGTCTAGGACAAAGAAGTTTTTAAAATCACAATGACGACTGAACAAGCCCCAAATCCAAAGGAAACTCAGGTAAGTTCACATTTTGTTACCTAATTAGGTAGTTAGTTTGATTTATCTCTAGTAAATTTGTAGGCCTAGCCTTTTGTACAATGGAAAAGTTATGGCATTGACTTTTAAAGTAGACATATACCATCTATAGACCAATTTTCTCATGGCGCAACCGATTGAGTAAATTTTCATAGAAAATAGCGTGAATGAACCACTTGCAGGTGTGCTTTAGTCTATATTCTGCATTTTTTATTGACCTAACTAAAATTATAGCTTTTTCCTTTCAGTTTTTCTTAGTTAAAGTTTCTGTACGCAACAGAAAATCAGTAACTTAAGTTAACTTACATCACTTGATTTAACCACCCTAGAGCACAGAGATTAAAGCTATAGCCTAGAGAAAACTCACTCATGAGATGACCGTGTACAGCGTTAGTATGTTGTGCCGGAAATACACTTGGGTTGAACAAGGAAGAGCACAAGAGGCGAGCAATGTGCAGATATTCCTATCGCACAGGGTACAGGGTCTTCCTCCACTTTGAGTGTTGTAGTATGAGGGCAAGGGGGGGGGGGGGCGGTGTTGGACTTTGCCAGAGATAATGCTAGACACTAACTTAGGTACCGTAGCATTAAGTGAATCCTCTGCACCTTCTCTGTGACTACTGTCATTTTCATTCTAAAACTAGTAAAAAATTTTAACATGGGAATAGCATTTCCAGTTATATGGACTACAGTCAATCCTATTAGGCTAGGTCTACCATTGTTCAAATGGACATACCAAAGTGAAGAATTGTTATTACACACTTAATTTGTAAGTTACGTTTAAGATTATTGCACATGGTTTAACTTTCATTTTCGTTAAGAATGAATGTAACTTACACCCTCATTCAGAGGTGGGCCTACCTTGGTTCAGATTTTAATCTGTCAAATTTAAATAACATAGATTATTCAAGCCTGCAAATTAGCTGTATGAGTTGCCGTCAAATGTCGTTTGACTTTAATTTTCTTTGATAACACCTTATTTTACAGGAGTTTCAATTTAAACTGCTGGCTCGTCTGAGGCTGTTTAAAGAAAATCCTCAGCTGCCTTTAAAACAGTCACTCAGTTTGGTCGCCTCAGCTTCCAAATTCGGGCTAATCTTCGTTGGAACTACAACGGGATTTGATGGTAAGGAATTTAATCCAACTCATTTAACTAGGCTATAAAACATATCTTATGGTCAATTCGTCAATGTTTGCAATGTTTATTAGCCTATATACTTTTTGTAACGGGTGTAATACCACATTTCTTAACAAGAGGGTTGGTATATTTTATTTGCAATCATTGCTAAATGATTGTTGTTGCACAATAATTTCTTGCTATTTTATGAAACTAACTTAACTGATCTCTGACTTTTACATATTTATGTAATCTTCAAAATTTATTATTATACAGACCGATCCTGGCCGTCTGCTGATCTGTCCACGCCTAGACCAGTCTTGTACATTAGATGATCTTTTACAAGCGAATGACAAAGCCATATCGGTAGCTAATTTTTGGAATATCAAAGTCTAATTTCCGGACACGGAAAGTAAGTAAGTATGCAGACCGATTAACAATTTCTTTATTGGCTTTGCTAAAGTCACTAAAGACAATCACTCGGGCTACTCTGCCTTAGTTTGTAAATAATTTCCTTCTGTTGTCGAGTTGTACAGTTTTAATCTAGGTGATTTCGTATTTTAAGACCTAACCTGGATTCAAACGGTCTCTCCATTCCTTGTTTTAGTGATACAGACAGTTAGCGTCCTTGAAAAATGTGTGGGAATCAAGAAACCATCCACCGATGTCACGGATTTTCCTCGTCGTGCTATACAGCTTGGAGCCCAGCCGACACACCTAGACGTCAGTTGTGATGGAACGCTGTTGGCCGTCGCTTGTGCCGGAGCCATACGTATCTATGACACTACGTCCTTCACTTCCCAGGTAGACCAATGACTTTTTAGTTTTTTTTTTTAAATATTTTAAAGCAATGGACAGATTTGAAATCTTTTAAAGCAATGGACAGAGATACAACCCAACAGCTCCCAAACATATTAAATTGCTCGGAAAGTCATGGACATATTAGTTTTGTTCTGGATGTCCCCAAAACCGTATGGAATTTCGTAATCACTGGTTTTTATAATTTGTAATAAATGTCTTTTGAATGACAAGGTATGTTTTGGTGATCATAGTAAAGATTTTGTAGTTGAGACAGATTTTGATTATGATAAGTTAAGCTAGAGGCTGCAGTAAATTAATATAATTTTACTGTACTACAGGTAGCCTAATACGGAAACCGGAAACCATGTTTTTTATACTACATTCTGAATCAAGAAATCAAGATATTATTGCCTGTTACATAAATAAAGCTAAGCATAGGCTACCTCAAATCTCTCGTACAAACCATGAAACATTGTTTCTAATTAACTGACTGAGCAAAATGCAAACCGTGCTCAAACAGCAACTAAAGCAAACCGTTTTCAAAACAACCTGTGACAATTTTATTAGATGAAATAATTAAAAAAAAAATTATTAAGGTGGCGCTCTAAACAAAACAATATAATCACTTCTTAAAATTGCAATAGAATGACCCAGGAAATATGTTACAGTCAGAGAAGATGGTGCAGGAAGTGAGGGTAATGTCGGCAGTTCAGGCACTCAGTTGGAACCCTGGCATTGTCAACATGTTGGCTGCCGTCATGCAAGACGGCTCCGCCAACGTCTACGAGCTGAAGAACAACACGTTTGAGATCCACTCGATACCTCCGGAAGCTCAGGCCACGTAAGACGTTTTGTTGTATTCTAAATTGTTCACATTTACCGGGTATTTTTCAGAAGAGGGCCGTTACTTTTTAAGTTTAGGTTAGTTTATAGCTTTACTAACATGTTTTTTAATTTACTGATCATAAATATTCACAAAAACTAAAAAATAACCCAACGTAAACTGTGGTTTTTCCACAGTTTAAATAGTGACGGCCCTCTTCTAAAAATATCCCTTTTACTTAATTAGGAGGTCTGCATAACTTTTTGATCCATCATATGTGAAATTAAGCGTTTTCTTTTTTACTTGAGTAAATTTGATGAAATCCTTACAATTTGAACTGACATTCAGTCATACAGCAACTGTTTCAATATTTGAGTTGATCTAGAAAATAATTATATGTATTAGGCTACAGTGTTTATAGAAGTAAAGTACATTTAAGTTTGAGGATAGTTTTTTTTTGTCCTGGAACGCTAGGCACAAGCCCAGGATTGTTTTTCACATTACTTCAGGCTAGACCTAGGAGTTGCGGTGTTATCAATTAGATAACAGGTGATTTGGTAGGATTTGAACCCGGGACCGAAATCTCACGCTCTAACCACTGGACCAGCTCGCTCCCCCAAGTTTAAGGATAGTGGAAGTACTCGAATCTTTGTGTGGTGTTTTGTTTGTGCTAAGATTTCCCATTCGGACAAACCTGCTGTCCCGACACGACTCCTTGAAACATACTTGTCCACTGTATTAGGCTACATGATTTGCCTGTTTGATTAATTTTACGTTTTTAAAATTTTTTCTTACAAAGAGAATATTATTCATAGACATTTGATTTTTTTAGAGAGGAAAGAGTTTTCAACCCTTTTAATTAGACAAAGATTTAACCTTTTAAAATGCATTAAGATCTAATGTAACCTAAATTCCTAATCATGTTCCTAGGTGCCTTTGCTGGAGTCCAAAAGGCAAACAGATTGTGATTGGTTCAAGAAACGGATCGTTGAACCAGTTCAAACCGGAGCTGAAGATCGTCAAGGCCATCCCTCCTCCTCAAGGTATTCCGTAGGTTTTGTAAGGATATACAGCATGCAATGAGTTAAATTATGTTGATTATTAGCTAAGTATCGGTTACAGTACTGGTATATTGGAGGTGGTATCTTTCTTTTTTGAGTAAACGGAGACTATCAGATCGACTGGGTTGAAATTTTAGCCAAAGTTAGATCATCACATAGTTCTACTTATGTCTATCCCCTTGTGCCACACCTCTAAAGTTGAAGGATGGATCTTTTGAAAGTAAATATTGACTGGTCTACATCGGAAACCTGAAAAAAGGGAAACCTTAATGTTTACAAACTATTTATTTTTACATAAAAAAAAAACTATTCAATTATTAACTCAGGCACATATTTAAGATTATGATCATTGCTCTTGTAAGTGGTGACATTAAATACACTAACTTAAACTTTGCCTCAGCAAATTATATTCAATAATGTACTGATAAGATTTTTTTTTAGAATCAATATAATTTTTCTGTACGAGGCAGGCTTTATCCTATATTTTGCATTCACATCAAACAATGCCGTGCACTGTAAATCCCAATCTTATTTTAGATTGTAATGCATTTATGTTAGCCTAGATTGTACTACTGACAATGTTGATTATATGTAAAAGACGATCAAGAGATTTGATTTGATTATAGTAAAAGCATTTTTAATTGGTTGGTTTTTACTTTGTGTATCGGCAATTTATTCATAATAAATCTACCTACCCCATAAAAAAAAAAAAAATAAATGTAACATTTTTAACTTAAGCCAATTTATATTCAATGGCTTACTGATCAGCTGTTTTATTAACAGGCGATTGGACGTTGGTCAGCATTCACTGGCTAAGCAACTTCCAGTACGCAGCTGTGTACAGTCCGCAAGGCCAACAGCGTCCTTGCCTCGTCATAGTCAACACTCCCAAAAACGCACCCATCTCCTACGTCAACTACGATGACATCACCTACAGCAACGGTGAAAACCGAACCAACCAGTTCTACTTCATACACCAACAAGCTTGGTGAGTTTTTGTTTTACTCAAATTAAAAAAAAAATTCATAATGTACTTGTGTGAATTATGTCAACAATAATTGAGCGGAGCGAGCGAAGCGAGCGAAGCTCTTATACGTCGACTTTTATGCATTTCGTTATACGCAAACTCCTCCTAGACGGCTGAATCAATCGTTTTCAAATTTTGCATGGTGATAAAGACCATATCGGTGAGTGCCAACATCTATATGGCGTTAAAAAAGTCTCTCAGGAATCCGTAGAAAAATTAAACTGAAAATCACATTTTTTTAACATTAGTCTTATGGGTTGCTAGGTAACCATGTTGGCTGAATTAAATAACAAGTAAAAAGTAAACAAAAGATTTGAAGTTTTAGCATGTGCTCATAATAAGCCAACTACCCACAGTATACTAGGAAATTACAAATACAGTACAAAAGGAAAAACATCACTTGTTAATATTGAGCAAAGATTATACTTAAGGTTACTCGATACATTGCAGTCAAGGGTAGCAGTGCGAAGTCTAGGATCTGTTTATGACGAATACATTAAGGTATCTGCAATCCTAAAATGCTATGGGAAGGGAAGGAAACAGGTCCGTGACGTAGGAAGTAGTATAGGCAATCATAAAATGCTATGGGAATAGAGGGAAACAGGTCCGTGACGTAGGAAGTGATGAAGGAAGTAGTAAATGCGAGCAGTCCGGAGTGTGGGGACTGTTTATGACGATAAGATTAGGGTATCTGCAATCCTAAAATGCTATGGGAAGGGAGGAAAACAGGTCCGCAACGTAGGAAGTGGTGAAGGAAGTAGTCAAGGCGAGTAGTCCGGAGTGCGGGAACTTTTTATGACGATTAGAATAAGGTACCTGCAATCTTTAACTGCAATAGGAAGGGAGGGAAACAGGTCCGCGACGTAGGAAGTGGTGAAGGAAGTAGTCAAGGCGAGCTGTCCGGAGTGTTGGAACTATTATGACGATTAGATAAGGGTATGGGCTAGGGGTGTGCGATGCATCGAAAATGCATCGAAATTTCGATTCGATTCGATTCGATGCATCGAATCGCGATTCGATTCAGTGGTGGTCAAAAAACGATTCGATTCATGAGGGAGTCAGTATCCATATACGAAAAACGCCTGCAGAAAGTCAACGCAATACCCGCAATACAGGAGCGCGTTGCTGTTGCGTTTCCTTTACGAAGGCGTTCTTATTTAATACATTCCTTGCATTAAATATAGCTTTAATTGTTTTATATTTTTTCGTTTTGACATTGCAAATGATGAGAGGTTTTGTTTTTTGTCTTGATGTAAGCAGTGTGAAAAATATTTTACTACTGTAAACTTAGCCAAAACAAGATAGGTCACTCCAAAATGATTTTAAAAATAAGTCTGAAAAATTGTTACTTAATACTTAACTAGTAAGATTAATGTTATAGACTGATACATTTGGTATTTTTGTTAGTGGTCTGCCGGTCCCAATTTTTGTTCGGGCAAGAGAAGAAAAAGAATAATTTATTTCCAAAGAAACACTCTTATATTATTATATCTATTATTACAGAGGAATTAAAATGTTCAAATGAGAATTAAAGATTAGTAAGTTGGCTCACGAATAAAGACACAACAGAGCAATAATTGCCGCACTGCCACTAGCCAGAGCTAGTCTAGTCGTCTACTGATAAGATTGACAAGACAAAAGCTGTTACGCAACACTAACAGTGCAAAGAAAACAAAGTCAAAAGAATAGACTATTTATCCAGACATACTAGTTTAATCATTTATTATTTATTCCATACCTAATTTAAAATATATTTTAGTATTTTACATAATAAATTATAAACAAAATAAATATCTGATATAGTGAACAGATCTGTATCTTGGTTAGATGGGGTTGAAAAAATATATTTCTAAGATCCAATACAATATTTACAACTCACAAATTACAATGAATTAATTTCTTTGAAAATGATCTGTAACAGTTTTGTTTTTGAATAAAGAAATACATTTTTTGTCTCTACTTCCTTGTTTCATCACTTGCATTTTGTCAGCAATTGAAGCAACTGGGTAGCAACCGGGTGGTGTAAGAGGGGAGGGGTAGGGTCTATGACCTTGAATGCACACATCGTTGCCTGGGCTTGGCTGGGGAGAGTGATTCATTGTTTTTGTTGACATACTACTACCCTTCCTTCAGAGAAAAGGCCCTGCTGTTCCAAAAACATTGAGGGTAGTTTAAAAACATTGACCTGTGTTGCCAAGGGCATTAGAAGTTAGCATTTAACTTTCTTATCTCTTGATTTAATATTATTTTAATCTACTATATATTATTTAAGAGTTACTTTTCGGGTACCTAATTAATTGTGATTTTGTTTGGCTTTATTTTATGGATTTTTATTTCATTCATTAGCTATCAAAATCAGTTGTTTTAGGATTTTAATCTCTTGCAGTAGGTCTATACTACTGTATGACATGATATGCATTTTTTACAGTCCTTAATAATTATACCATAAACAATGTTTGTGTGTTATTTACTGTTTTTTAGTTTTATAGTAGGGCCTAAATTAGTTTACACAATATCTTTTCTTCAATGAGTTCTCCACTTGTCATGTTGCTTAGTACACTTTTAGGACTTTTTTAGGTCCTATAAAAAATAATGCCTATGTAAAGCTGTAGGCCTACTAACTGATGCCAATAATAGATAATTCTTTATTTATGATGATGTAACAAATAATGTAAGTGTGAGGTTATTTATTATACTAAGGAGGTTAGGAGGCAGGGAATGAATAATACATATTGCATGGTGGAAACATATTATTTTTATTTTCTTCTTGCTTGCAGTCCTGAAGCAGGTCCACAGGATATGTAGGCTAAATTTATTTCTTAATGGTCTTTTTATATTAAGTTCCATTCAAATTTGTTGTAATTTAGCTGACGGTACCTATTTAGTTATTTAAACAGTTATTAAAATGAGAATTAATGTCTTGATAAAAAAAATATTTTCTTCTTGCAATTGAGCCAATTCCAAGTAAAAACTATGAAATAGGCAAGTAAACCAGCTCACAGGTTATTCTAATCCCTATGATTGAAAATAAATATTTTTTTCACCTAAAATTCATATGTTAAGTATGAATAGGCCTAATACCACATCAACAAAAATTTGCATTACACAAATGTGGTAAATTTTAATTATTGTTAATCCACTCAATTGACAATTATGAATAGAAAAATACCGTATTGCTTCGAATCGAGTTGCATCGAATCGAATCGAAAATCTTTTGAATCGAATCGTTGCTTCGAATCGAAAATTTCTTGCTGCTTCGCACACCCCTAGATGGGCAATCAAAAATGCTATGGGAAAGGGAGGGAAACAGGCCCGTGACGTAGGAAGTGGTGAAGGAAGTAGTCAAAGCGAGCTGTCCGGAGTGTTGGAACTGTTTATGACGATAAGATAAGGGTATGGGCAATCCTAAAATGCTATGGGAAGGGACGGAAAGAGGTCCGCGACGTAGGAAGTGGTGAAGGAAGTAGTCAAGGCGAGCTGTCAGGAGTGAGGGAACTGTTTATGGCGATTAGATTAAGGTATTTGCAATCCTAAAATGCTATGGAAAGGGAGGAAAATAGGTCCGCGACGTAGGAAGTGGTGAAGGAAGTAGTCTAGGCGAGTTGTCCGGAGTGTTGGAAATGTTTATGACAATTAGATTAAGGTATCAGCAAACCTAAAATGCTACGGGAAGGGAGGAAAACAGGTCCGCGACGTAGGAAGTGATGAAGGAAGTAGTCAAGGTGAGCTGTCCGGAGTGTGGGGACTGTTTATGACGATTAGATTAAGGTATTTGCAATTCTAAAATGCTATGGGAAAATAGGTCCGCGACGTAGGAAGTGGTGAAGGAAGTAGTCTAGGCGAGTTGTCCGGATTGTTTGAAATGTTTATGACAATTAGATTATGGTATCAGCAAACCTAAAATGCTACGGGAAGGGAGGAAAACAGGTCCGCAACGTAGGAAGTGATGAAGGAAGTAGTCAAGGTGAGCTGTCCGGAGTGTGGGAACTGTTTATGACGATTAGATTAAGGTATTTGCAATCCTAAAATGCTATGGGAAGGGAGGGAAACAGGTCCGCGACGTAGGAAGTGGTGAAGGAAGTAGTCAAGGCGAGTAGTCCGGAGTGTGGGAACTGTTTATGACGATTAGATTAAGATATCTGCAATCTTTAAATGCAATGGAATGGAGGGAAACAGATCCATGACGTAGGAAATTGTGTAGGATGTAGATGTGTGGATTTATGTATCTCCAATACTACGGTGCTTTCAGAGTGAACTAATGATTTTCCCCGAGCAAAGCTCGGTCCCCAGGTACTATAATCAAATGACGACACTAGCTTGAGGTTCGTGACGTATGAAGAGGTTAAGGAAGTAGTAAATGTGAACAGTCTGGAGTATGGAAACTGTTTATGACGATTAGATTAAGGTCTCTATATTCCTAAAATGCTACGGAAAGGGAGGGAAACAGGTCCGCGATGTGGGAAGTGGCGAAGGAAGTAGTAAAGGCGAGCTGTTCGGAGTGTGGGATCTGTTTATGACGATTAGATTCAGGTATCTGCAATCTTAAAATGCTATGGGAAGAGAGGGAAACAGATCCGCGACGTAGGAACAGGTGAAAGAAGTAGTAAGGTGAGCAGTACGGAGTGTGGGAACTGGAAACCGTTTGTAGCAGTTTTAATGTATCTGCAATGCTGATATGCTATGAGAAGGGATGGAAGCATGCCCAAGACATAGGAAATTGTGAAAGAAGTAGTAAAGTCTAGCAGTACGGACAGTGGGGATGTTTGTTGCAATTAGATTAACGTATCTAAAATACTAAAATGCTATGGAAAGCGATGAATACAGGTCCACGACGTAAGTGGTGAATGAAGTAGTAAAGGCTGGCAGTGCAGAGTGGGGGAACCGTTTGAGCAGATGGATAAATGAATTTGCAATACTTAAATGCTATGAGAAAGGAAGGAAACAGGCCAATGACGTAGTAAATGGTGAAGGAAGTAGTAAGGCTAACAGCGCAGAGTGTGGGAACTGTCTTTGGCAATTACATTAATGTATCTGCAATCCTAAAATGCTATGGGAAGAGAGGGAAACAGGTCCACGACGTAGGGTGTGGTGAAGGAAGTAGTAAAGGTGAGCAGTGTTGAGTTTGGGAATGGATTAATGTATCTGCAATGCTAAAATGCTACGGGAAGAGACTGTAGACTGTAATATGTTAAAATGATTACGAAGCACAAATCGATACATATTTTCGATACATGCAATCGTTTACAATCGAAATTTACAACTGAGTTGACAACAGCTGATTTTTACTCCATAGAGGCTAAACACGATTTTTACTCCCTAAATATTAAAAATGCTACTTTAGACCCGCAGCGCATGCATGAAAAAATACTGTTTTTACTGCAGTAAGACAAAAACAATATAATATGAACCCTTGATGACTCCGCTCAATTTTGTGGATGCCTCTGCGAACGCCACCTAGTTACCAAAACAATAGACGTTTTGATTTTTGAAGCATTAATTAAAATTTAAGTAGGTATTTATACAATTAACAGCTCATGTTCATTACACGGGTTGGACAAAAGATTGGTTCTATCATTAGTTATGTTAACCCTTTGCGGTCGAATGGCGAGTATAGGTCGCCGCCCGCCATTTTGCCGACTGCTCAAAAATGGCGACCTATAAGGACCCAAAAAAAAAATTCAAAAATCAAAAAAGTTAATTTTTTTGGTTGAATGCCGAGTATAGGTCTTTGGGCACCATTTTCCTGACTGCTTGAATGGCAAGCTAAATTCACCGGAAAATGTGGAAAAAATTCAACCTCAAAGGGTTAACTGAGTAAAATTGTACATTTTCCCCTTGTTTGTTCAAACTGGAAATGTCCCCAATGTTGTATCAGTGTCTATCACACAAATGTTTCTTAGAGCCTAATCTGATTTTTACTACTTTTAGGTTTGACATTTTGAGGTGCTAAGCAAGCTGGTGTTTTTATTTTGTCTGTCATTTTTTATTTGTTTTGTGATGCTGGTTTCAAGGAGTAAAATGAGTTTGGTTTCAATAGAAAACAAAAAACGTGATTATTTTTAATATTGGCGACACTTTATTTAATTAATGATTTGTTAACATGGGGATTTTGAGTACAGTCGAACCTCTATAAGACGAATTTCAAGGGGTAGGGGAAAAAATTTTATTTATCGAGGTATTCTTAATAAAGATGGTTGTTTTATCGAGGTTAAATAATGCTGTCATTCGTTTTATTGAGGTTCTTCTCGCTCTGAAAACAATTACTGAGGAAGGAAGAGGGATGGGTGGAGGTTTCATGTTGAGACAAGCTTCTGTTTGTTTTAAAAAGTACGTACTATGGAGATCAAGATAAGATAAGATAAGATAAGATAGATGTCACATTCGTCTTGTAGAGGTTTTGTGCAAAGAATATTCGTTGTATAAACGCTAATAAGTTCTCCTAGCCCACGTCACAAACAAATTTGTCTTATGGAGGTTTTTAACCTAATTACTACGTTGTATAGAGGAGTTTTTAGCAATGACCTTTATGAATGTTACGAGGGGATTAAAAAATTTGGTCTTATCGAGGAATTTGTTTTACCGAGATTCGTACTAGTAAGGTTCGACTGTATTTATTATTTTCTGTTCCAACTTTCCAGGTTATGTTAAACGTTTTGTGGCGAGTTTTGGTGGATAATGGAATCTCCGTTAGACAATAAATATCAAAGAAAGTTCAAAGAAACATAGATTTAGTAGTATTTAAAGTGAAATTAAAACAGATAATGAGATAATGTATTGAGTCAAATTACACTTGCTTGGCTGTGCAGAATAGTGTAGGATAGTCGCCAGTCGGTTGCCCCGAAGTCATAGAAGGAATTATGTTAATTGACAACATTTTTCAACAGGAATGTGTTACTGGTCGCCTCAGCGAACAGTATGGAGGTGGGAGTGCTTGGACGAGCTGGCGAGTCGCCATGGCAACAGTGGCAGATGGAGGACGCTGCGCGAGCCGAGCTGCCGCTGTCTCCCTCTCGTCAGGAGACTCATCCTGTGGGCATGGCTTTTGATATCAGTCCACAGTACAATCTGCCTTGGGGTCAGTATAACAGAGATAAAGGATTGATATTTTTGTTTTCCGAATGGTAACGAGAGAGAGCTTTAAATTTTATAGACTAAAATAGCGCCAAATTACAAGTGAAAGACAAAAATGTGAATATTAGTGTTTTTGGACTACAGGGCACACCAGCGTATGTACTATTCCACTATATATAATATGTTACCAAAGCCATTGACAACAAAAATGAGTCACGGATTTGCTGTGACCACGGTGGTTGTTCTTGATTTTGTCATTACCGCAGAAGACGTTCAGGAATTCACCAAGACCGTAGAAAATGTTGTAGATTCCTCCATTACGATGGAAGATGTTCACGATTTCACTTGGAGGAAGATGTACAGTATTGTATGAACCAATTGAAGTATTACAATTAATAATTTAAAAAATCAATTCATTTCAAAACAACCCAATTCGACCAAAATTTCAACCTACATAAAAAACCCTCGTAAACCCCTAGAATATATGATTTTAAATTAACTGCTGTGTTATAGGTGAAAACCAGCAACTTCCGCCGATGCCATTACTACTGCTACTGTCACATGAGGGGTTGTTGACCCTGTACTGGTGCATCAACTTGCAGCCTGGCAGTCCGTGTGTGTGTACTCCCCCCACCCCTCTACCTGACACTAGCGGACTGGGGCACTTCAGGTCACCTGCGCCTGCGCCTGCACCTGTACAACAGCAACAGGTGGGGATATACCTAGGTGTAGGGAATGTTGAAATATGTGGTGGCTACAGTTGGCAACACGTGGCCATTTTCCATACCCACTTCTATTTTCCCTAGCGAGCTGGCCAAGTGGTTAGAGCGCAGGACTCCGGTTTCTGGTTCAAATCACGCCAAATCACCAATGGATTTTATCTAAGTGATAATGCTGTAACCCCTAGGTCTAGCCTGAAGTAATGTGAAAAACAATTCCGGGCTCGAGCCTAGCGTCCTAGGGCAATAAAAATCCATTTTCCTTGGACTATATTCTCTGAGCTATCAGAACTTTATCCCTTTTGGAAATTATTCTCAGTATGCATAGACAAATAATTAGGAGGGTAAAAAATGCTGTAATTATAAATTATACTCAGTTGACTAAACTGATCCGCATTGAAATTATAGTGTATCTTAAAACTTATTTGAGTTCATGTTTGAACCAAGTGATCATTTCCCAAGACAATTTTTCATTGAATGTTTCCAAACCTTGCAAACCTACCTCAACCCCCCTTGGTTCAGGGTAGAGTGGAAATCAGGCCATCGTAGATAAATGTGTCTTTGGTTTGTTTAAAATGTTTGAACTGCCGGAAACACTATTGCATGATACTATTGTATTTCTTAAAGAAATCTCAATAAAGAAAATTGATTGAAACAATACACTGATTGTTGGGATTAGCTTCCTATGAAAATGGTTAACACTTTTATCCATGTTGATTTGTTAGAGCTTCTAAGTTAGCTTTGGACATTACTAACTTCAGACTAATGTAGCCACAGATTACGCAGCAGACACCGCAGAAGCCACAGTTGGTAGCGCCGTCTGCTCCGTCAACATTCTTCACTCCAGCGCCTGTGTCGTTTGCCCCGTCTGTGCCTACTGCTGCTACCCCCGCCACCATCGCTGCCCCCACTGCCGTCTCTGCTACGCCTACCAGCCAGTGGCAGCAACCCCCCACTGCACAACCGGCGTGGACTTTGCCTGCGCTGTCGGCTCAGTAAGTATACACTGTGATTGCAGCTCAAACGATTAACATGAAATATTCTTGTTGTTAACATCCATATTTTTTTAAGAAGTGGTTTTTGGTGGGGAAAACACTTGGCTTAGGGTGTAAAGTAAGACCCTATCATATCCGATAATTTACGCCTAATAATTAAGTGTACTCGATAAATGTAGTCAAAAGTAGTGCATAGGTATCTGAGGGGATTGAAAACTATAGACATGTTTCTAAAACTAAGAGTATAAACCAAACTGGTTAGAACCAATCAAATGTTTTGAGGTTAGGCCCACTGGCTCAACTGAAAAGTTAATATAGTATATTCCATTAAAACAATTAACCAATACCTGTTTAGGCTGCTGTATAATATACAATATCTGTTCAGGCCAGATAAGTCTGCAGGTTCGTGGATGTCGTCACCGTCAGCTACCACGGTGTTTGCTGCTTCTACTGCGTCGTCTGCCTTCACTACTCCGGCAGTATCTACTACACAGCCTACATTTGGAGCACAGCCTCTCAGCTTTGCACCTTCGGAAGGCTTTGGAAAACCTGGTAAGTTTGTGAAAGGTCCATAAGATTGTAAAACAATGTGTGATAGAGTTACGGTAACAGAAAAAAAATGGAGGGAATGAAATTCAGAAGCGAACTGTAGCTAAATAGTGTAGAGCCGCTACTGCAGCTGAAAGTTTGACTGGATCGTAGCAGCATTTTTATTAACTTAGTAGTCCAGCATGAAACAACCCATAAAGTGAGTTTTGTTCATTTTAACTCAAAATAGTTGCTCATAGAGGTACATTTCTGTAAAATTATAGATATTTAGGAGTAGTTACGTTGTGTGTTAACATTTGTATATCTTATCTTAAAAAATATTATATGTCAGGTAATAACGAATTTCCCTAATCTGAATGTTTTCCTTACAGTTGGAACATTAGTCCAGCCTGCTTCACCCGTCGTTCCAAAGGCAGTAACACCTGTCGTTACTTCTGTAAGTAGAGTATTTAAACTTTAACTATTTTTAGAGTTTCAGAATTATTTTGACTTTGAATGTCTCTTGTAATTAGCCTATTAAAATACTGGCTAAATTGAGCAAAAAGAAATGGACACACAATTAACTTACCTAAGGAACAATTAGGCCACACATTCCATGCCACGACCAAACCATCAAATGCAATGTAGCAATCGATGTATCCAATATTTTGTGTTTTAGGTCGCTCCTGTCCAGCCGCCGCCGACTTTGGAAATCCCGGTTGCTTCTTTCCCTGTTCAAGTGCCACCTGCCCTTTGCACGCCTGAACGTAAGTTTTATCTCAGATCCACAGAAAATAATCCAAAAGATGGAAGCGATCTAAAAATGTTCCTTCTTTAAAAAGTAACTATATTTAAATATTTTTTTTTCTGCCAACATTTATGAGAGAACAGCGTACATTACTAATCAGTTCAAGAGACCTAAGTACTTCAGTTATGTGTCGATGGTTAAAAGTGAAGTTTAAAAATAGGGTATTGACAAGCTTTAATATGTAAGAGTTTCTATGTTAATTCATAAGCATTAGTCATGGGGTTCGTTTAGTAACTAGTTTAATCAAACTATAATAGCTCACTTTGTTTTGTTTTTAATTCCTTTTTTTCTTCATGTAGCCTACTTGAGGAATACAGAACACTGCTCGACAAAGTTTATGGCTCAAGTTTTCCGTTTTTTGTTCGCAAACACTAAATTAACCATGTGCCTTTACGCAGCGGAAGTGACTGAAGAGAGCGAACACTTGCGGCAGATGAATGAGGCCCTCATACAAGACAGCATCCGAGAGGAGATCAACTTCTGCGACAAGGAGCTTCAGCAGTTGAGCCAACGAGTGTGCAATCTCAACGTGGACGTGAGTGAGACGATGAATTATTTTAACTCATCCTTGTCTAATGTCTAGCCGAATTCTGTATCTTTAGTTTGCCAACGGGTGTTATCATATTTCCCACCATTTGTCGAAGCAAATGGTGACACACAAAGTTTTTAGTACTGTAAACCCAGCTTAGTAGGGACGCGGTTGGATTAGTGAATAGACCTCAGGAGTTGAAAGCTTAGTTTTAAATTCTACCCAATCCAATGGATCTTAGCTATTTGATAGTGACCTTAATGATCAAGGCACATCTTAGCAGTTACAGTACCCATCTTAGGTATTTGGTAGGTTGGTACAGTACCCATCTTAGGTATTTGGTAGGTAAAGTACCCATCTTTCAAAAATCCAAAGACAGACTAGAGCTAAGAATATTCTTTTTGTAGGTACAAAATTGTACTTTGCTATCGTTGCATAAATTTATTCATTATCTTGGCTATAAAATTAACTTTCTGTTCTAAAACTACTTTTCACTCATCCTACTTTCTCACTGCACTCCGTACTTCTGTAAATGCAAAAATTGTTTTTAATTTTTATTCATTTTGATTATGAGATTGTTCACAATGTATCCCCTCCCACAATATAAGGAAGCTAATTATAACTACCATGTGTAGTATTCTCATGATAAAAATACTTTATTTCACTGTGTGTAGTATACTCATGACAAAAATACTTTATTCTTCAAAACAACAGATTGTTTGTCAGGACAAACTTATTTTATATCAAGTTAAGGGAGGGCACAAGGGCCTAGGTTTTTAGGATTTTTGAGAGGATAGCAGAATTATCTGAATGGGAAAAAGTCCAAACTGGCATTGCTGTTTTATTTGATATCAAACACTTGTCCCTTTCAGGTGTTGAATGAAGTTGACACTGACAAGTTGGTAGCGGACACAGAAGAGATGTCTGCGTTCATGCGGGAGCTGAAGGAGACGACGGACGTGCAAGCTGCGGAGGTGGATGTGCTGCGGAACTTCATCCTGCAGTCCTTCTCCTACGTGGAGAGCATGAAGACGCGACTGCGGCTGCAGAACAATCCCGAGTTAGTTGTCTGCAGTTTAAATTGTATCTTTGTTTTGTTGGTTAGGTTGATTCACGGTTCAAATTACATTGTGTTCAAACAATGAAACATTAAAAATCTTTAATGTGACAAGTAAAGTTATGTCTCTGAAAAGTGACCTGCTTTAGAATGGGTTTTGTTTTGAATACATACTTTAAAGTTGCTTTTGTAGCTGCGTAAGTATTTTTTTCAGGGCTGTGCGAATCCAGAAATTTTGGTTCGAATCCGAATCCGAATCATAGCTGTACAGATTTTACCGAATCCGAATACTTTAATTAGTTCCGGGTCGAATCCGAATCTAAAATTTATAGCCATTACCGAATCCGGATCGAATCCGAATCTCAAATTTACAGCTGTTATCGAACCCGGATCGAATCCGAATCTTAAATTTACAGCCGTTATCGAACCCGGATCGAATCCGAAACTCAAATTTACAGCTGTTATCGATTCTGAATATTTGAACCAGTTCCGAAAGACATAATATGTCATAATTTATATTATTTAGAATTTGGTCAAGAGAGTCCAAGCCAAGATGTCCTACTTGTTTATTTTCTTTTTAAATATGTATATAATGGATTATATAGGGTTCAAATGCGACATATGAGCCTAAGTCCGTAAGCTATGACTATTACAAGTTAACATCTCACCTCACACTGTGAGGTTAAGTTTATGTACTGATAGCCAAGATAGGGTTCAAATGCAACATGAGCCTAAGTCCGTAAGTTATGACTATTACAAGTTAACATCTCACACTGTGAGGTTAAGTTTATGTACTGATAGCCAAGATAGGGTTCAAATGCGACACGAGCCTAAGTCCGTAAGTTATAACTACCTAGGCTATTACAAATAAACATCTCACCTCCCACTGTGAGGTTAAGTTTATGTACTGATAGCCAAGATAGGGTTCAAATGCAACATGAGCCTAAGTCCGTAAGTTATGACTATTACAAGTTAACATCTCACACTGTGAGGTTAAGTTTATGTACTGATAGCCAAGATAGGGTTCAAATGCGACACGAGCCTAAGTCCGTAAGTTATAACTACCTAGGCTATTACAAATAAACATCTCACCTCCCACTGTGAGGTTAAGTTTATGTACTGATAGCCAAGATAGGGTTCAAATGCAACATGAGCCTAAGTCCGTAAGTTATGACTATTACAAGTTAACATCTCACACTGTGAGGTTAAGTTTGCTGATAGCCAAGATAGGGTTCAAATGCGACCTAGGCCTAAAGAATAACACTATGGTCAGGTTCATATTATGAACCAGGCAAAAAAAAAATCAGAGTACACAAGTAGTTTTTAGTGTCCGCTGTCCAATTTTGACCCATTGCAGCTTAGGCATAATACCTACCTTACATCTATAAATTTGAAATCAAATATCTTAAATACCCTAAGCTAAACCCAATCTAACTTTTTCTTTGAGACCCTCAAGAAACAACATTGGCCCATTACAATATGAAAAAGATTGAAGGTGATAAGACTAATCTGGATGATCAACTTACTGGAAGCTTTACAAACTACTAATAATCAACAATTTTGATATTAAAAATTAACAGAAATAAATAGGCCTAGGCCTAACTTAAGTTATAAGTGAATCAAACTACCTATATGATATAGGCTAAGTTAGGCTATAAACCAACTAGGCCTAATTAATTAGTTATCTATACAAAAAAAATCCTTTTTCAACCTTTTACATAAGTTACTTAAGTTTAGGTTATGTTTACACTTTAACTTGTACTTGAATGTGGCTATCTGTACCAGTACGTCATATTTTCCATTTAATCAAAAGTGCATCATCAAATCAGAACTATAAATTGGATTAGATCAATAAAGTACAAGTAAAACTTTTCTTACAGAACATAACTTAGGCCTAATAAAAAACACAGTTTAACGTATAATTATTAATTTATTTATTTAACTAAGGTAGTCTGGCGTCCATTTTCATTTTGTCATACTGATGGATGAGTCGAGTGCTGTCAGTGTCATTGTCCCGTTGTCCTTTCGTTTTCGTTCTATTAGTTGTCGTAATAAGTCACTCAAGAGTCAAACTTCAATGTTCCAGTTCCAATCCCAATTCCTGGTTCAAAGAATCAACTCAACAGACGACACTGATCATTGATCAAGAAGCAAGAAACCCAACCACGTCCGCCATTCCATGTATCCACACACGACAAAAAAAAATAATCCCGCCTGCTGGGTCGAGAAATCCCGTTTTATCCCGTATGGTCTTTTTAGTTTAATTCCGAGTGTTATTTATGTTTGACGTATCATGTTTAAATAGTTGTTTAAACATTGATATTATGTTTTGCTACAGGAGTTTACCAATTGGAGTTCGTTTTCCCCTAAAAACTAAGTAGAAAAAATTAAAAACAGACGTCATAGCTGAAAAATCCGTTTTATCCCGCATCCAATTTAAATCCCGATCGTGGTCTAAAAGTCCCGTTTTCGGGATAATAATCGGAGTCACTGCCACCATTTCGTTCTCTGTTGGTTCTTGGTTCTAAAACCGACTGACGGAACGACTAAAACTGACCGAGTGAAGTGAAAACCCGGCGAGTGCAATTCAACGACGGAGCCAACGAGTCGATTGTCGAATCAACTGCTCCATAATAATCCGCTTGCAAAACTACCGGTGCGATGGCCGATGATATTACAATTTACTGAAGGAACAAAATAGATTTTACCCTAAATACAGTTTTCTCTAGCTCTAGGTCAACTGGCAGTTGGTGCTTTAGTGCTTTTGTTTCTAATCTTTGAATGCTGGAGCCAATTTTTAATCAAAATCAGATTATGAAAATGAAAATGATATTTAAATTCTCATATCAAATCCCAACTCGGATCTCTTTCCGGTACATTCGAATATCGAATCCGAACCCGGGTCTCTTTCCGGTAAATTCGAATATCGATTCCGAATCCGAATAGAGTTAGAAACAGAAGATTCGTTCTCGAATCCGAATCGAATCTCCAAAAAGATTCGGATTCGATTTGTTTTTCGAACTATTCGCACAGCCCTGATTTTTTTACAAGTACACAAGTGATTATTTTTTGTTTCACAGCTACTTGAGTATTGTTTGTTTTTCAGCTACATGAGTATCCAGAGCTCCCAAGGACTGGATCCGATTCAAGCTCGTAGGATGACAGATATCCGGAACAACATACATTACATTGAGAGTCAGCTTAGAAAATTCAATGAGGACATGGTCGAACGTTGGGGATCGTTCCAGGATGCTAACAAGGAAAACCGGTAGGCAACTTGAAAAAATACAATTTCTATTCATAATTTACTATCTATACAAGCTGGTTTTGAAAACTAAAAATAAAATGTGTTATTAACCTTTATGTTCAGCTTTACATTGCTCTCAGGACAACTGCAGTTTTGCAAGTCCTACTTCTACTATCACACTCTATCACGCCCATGGCCATTTATGCCCAAGGCGGGATTTGGCCACACCAACAACTGATCTCCATGTCTCTCTATCTTCTGCCTCTTCCACTGCTCCCCCCACTTCTCTGACGTCCTAGAAGACACTATCCCACCATCTCTTCTTGGGCCTTCCTAATGGTCGTTTCCCTTCTGGCTTTCCTATGCTTGCTTCTTTTAATAGTGAACCCACCATTAGGTCTGATTGAAAAAACCTGACTAGTTTTTCCATTACCGGTACCAAATACAATTTTTACCCAACCATTTTAGTGTTACTTTTGACTGACTACCTAACCCTTCATAGGTGCCTACAAAGTTTTTATCTAGGAAAATTTATTTTCATACAAGTATACGCAGCTGGCAGTTTCAAGAGTAGAGTAATCTTGCACATTTCCCTCTAGGAACTGATTGAAAATCATTTCAGTCCCCCCTCCCTCGTACTACCGCATGATTAATCAGATGACTGATTAAATTATGAACTCTTACTATTAATCAGTTGAAGCCTGAAGAGTCAAGTAGCACGGAACCTGCTCCCATGTATCACAGCTGGCGCTACTACGTTCCCAGAGTTCCGTGTATCACCTATGATGTTTTTTTGTTTGCTATATTTTTTATAAATATATCAAGTAAGATTTCTATTGATTCAATGTACTCTTTTTTTTATTACTCATGATTTTGTAAAATTACATTGTTTATCTAATGTTTTCAATATGGTACCGAAAAAAAATTGGCTCACCGATCTGGTTTTAGAATCAAACACACCCAAAGGTTAAGCAAACTAATAAAGCACAGCTGTACTAAAGTTAGCCATTATAGAAGACTAGAGTATCCGTTGCTCGTATTCGAGCAATTGCAAAGTATTACAGGTGCTATTTAAAAACAGATAACAGTCATAATTTCCGATTACTAAAAAAGTCAAATCAAAGATAATGTATCAATCACTCTACTACAGTTATCGAAACTGAAAATGAACGAACTCTGAAAAGAAACGCTGTTGGGTTTGTCATGTGTTTACTACAAACAGCTGTAATTAATACAAATTATTCGTCTGTTTAAGTAAACAAAATCTTTTCTTCATTAGAAATACATTGGAATTTTGATGGCCTGTGGGGCAAAGCCCGAGGACTATTATCACAGGAATTAGTGCACACAAAAATACTTAATTTTGACACATCGTTTGAAAAAATCCGTCCACTATTAACAGAGGAGTAGTGTTTTGTAGAAATAACCTTCACGTATTATATATAAGGATAGTTTAACAAGAGTTTGAGAGGTCTCAAATGTTTTTGCTGTCCACAGAGAAGTTATGCACATCCCCTCGCTGGAGGCTGTCTACCAAGCCATCGTGCTGCAGAACAACATCATGTCCAAACAGAGGGCGCTCATCAGCCAGTTGGAGGAGAAGGCCAAGCTGAGAGAACGCAAGAGAGTGTTGGGGCTGCTCAACGTATCCAGGATGGTGGACGACATTGAGTCTGAGCATAAGTGAGTATATAGCCTATCGATTATTTACAGTGGAACATAGGCCTACACTTTCTAATAGGAATGGACGGTCCTCGAAATTTCGGGAAATTTTAAATCTTGTTCTACGAGACGAGATTTAATTTTGGTCAAGATTTTTTTGAGACGAGATAAAAAAAAAGAAAAATGCCTGCAGAAAGTCAATGCAATACCCGCAATACAGGAGTGTGCTGATGTTGTATTTCCTTTGCGAAGGCGTTTTTATTTAATTATTAATTCTTTACATGGAAATATTGTTTTAATTGTTAAAAAAACTTTTGTTGACAAAGCAAATGATGAGAAGTATTGTTAGTGTTGTTTTTGTTTTGCGTTGTATCGTACTTTATGTTGCAGTGTGAGACATGTTTTACTACTGTAAACATAACCAAAATAAGTCACTCCAAAATCATTCTAAAAATAACACAAGACTGAAAAATTGTTACTTGATACTTAACCAGCAAGATAACTTAGGTCTTAACCCTTTGAGGTCGAATTTTTTCTCCATTTTTCAGCGAGTATAGTTTGCTCTTCTAGTAGTCAGGAAAATGGAAAAATGAAAAATGGAAAATGGCGGCTACCTATACTCGAATTTCGACCTCAAAGGGCTTTTTTTATACTTTTTTTATTTGCTTTTTTATACTGATTAATAAAAATGTTGAAATAATTTTGTTTATAATTATTTTTTGTATTCAACCAGTCCGTCATAAATAAGTAGATATTTAAAAAAGTTACAAAAATCAAGTTAAAATGAGGAACGTGCATTTTGCGTTATGTATGAGAAGGGAAATCCCGTCTCGTCTCGGCTTGAACTAAAAATCCAATCTCGTCAATCCCTACTTTCTAACTTTAATTCAGACTTCATCAATGAAAAAAAAAAACTAAATTCATTGTGATAGAACTGCAAAATACTCTAATGGGTTCCAAACTGCACCAGGAGAACTAGCAGTACTCCTGCCCCGCAGTCTGTCAAGCTATAAATAAATAAATAAAAATGTCTTTATTAAGCGTTTCTCTGGTACACCAGCTTTTCAGAACAACTTTCGTCACTATCTACTAGGCTAGCAGCACAACCATAGAGATTTGATAGGCCTGTGCTATACTACGTAGGCAATTTTGCGTCCCCACCCGTAATTGCAAAAACGTTACGATAGCGAAAAGATCAAACAAAAAAGAATGATAAAAAACATCAAATGATTATTTGCAATGGACACAACGTATAAGCTCTGTTGTGATTTTTCCATTTACAAATTATTCTTTAAGTTTACTGTATATGTTTCATAAAATCAAGCAACGATGTTGTCGTTAATACAAAACCAATATGTCTTTGCCCAAACAAATGTCAGAGATAGACTAAACTATACCTCTAAATTTATTTAACTTATGCACAGTTATGTGAGGTAAAGTGTGACCCTTTTATTACTAGACTTACCTAATTTAATTCCTAGATAAATCACATAGCACTGCTCTTTTGAGTGATTGAATTATTAAAGTTCCACTGTCCTACATAGTCTGTAAACAAGGTAGGCCTACAAACAGACAAAATATGAGTTTTTTCTTGTTTCCTGAAGTCCTATTCTAACATGTAATATGTCTCCAGGATTTTAGTTGTAGTTGTAATAAATAAAAGTATTAATTAGAAAATAAGTATATTTCTGTAGACTTTCTCAAGATCTGCTTGGTTGTTGCAGAACAAGTTTTAGCGATGAAACTGGGCCAGCCATTTGTTTGAAATCATACATCAGATAAATCGTTTTTCCCCACTATTTTCACTGGTTGTCTTGGGGTTTCTTGCGGCCTGAGCCGACCTAAGCTGATTTCATCTTCATCGACTTCATACGTTGTATACACTCTCCTTGCTTTCTTTACTTTCTTCTTCGGCCCTCTCACTTTTTTCTCCTTAAGTTTACTTGCTTTTGGAACACTGTCTTTTTTGGATTTCTTCCCTTTCTCTTTTTTGTCTTTTGCGTCCTTTTTGTCTTTCTCATCCTTCTTGTCTTCATCATCTTCATCATCTTCATCGTCTTCATCCTTTTCATCTTCATCGTCTGTGTCTGAAGAGTCTGAGTTACTCTTCGACTTATTTTGCCACCTGAGCAGCGTGCACCTGCGGCTGTGATTATCCTCTTCTGCTCCGTGTATTTTTTCTTGTTTCATAACCATACCTTCTTCTTCAAGCTTTGTGTTGGTGGAATGCTTCGACATATACTCTGGGGTTTTATCCATAGAGTTAAGCCATGTTACCGCAGTATCGATTGGGATGTAAATCACAAATTCTAAATCAGGATTTTCAACTGGTGAGTGCGTAGAGTCTATTCTGTATACGTACGCATCTTTATTTTCCCATGTAAACACTTGGGGTTTTGTTAATGCCATGCTTGTTTTTCGAGGTGCAATACTTTGTTCCACGATAGGTTCTGGTGTTTTTTGTGATATATTCAGGTGTTCATCGGTTCTCGATTGGTCGAAAATTGAGATCATTTCATAAGGTGTTTCTTTGTAATAAACATGCTGAGGATTTTCTAAATCGATTAAAAATGACTTTTCCGGATTTTCATGATTATTGAATGATATGTGATTTATCGGCTGGTTAGGGTTGTTTTGTTCCTTGTGTGGGTGTTTTTTTCTAAATAGTTTTCTCAGTAAATTAGTCATAACTTTTTATGTAAAGTACGCTTAATTGAATAATTTCCTTTATTAATCAACCCTGAAACAAAAACTTCCATCAGCACAAATCATAATTATTATAAAATCACAAAAAGATTATTTACACGTGTTAGTATTTAAGTCCAAGCATGCAAAAAACTCTGAACGAGATCCAGAAACCCTTGTTATCTGTATGGTTCTTTTGTCCTTTGTTGTTTTTGGTACGAAGAATGCGCCAAATTTTTTAGTTTTATGCATCAAGCAATTGGACACAAACATTAATATTTTTGTTATTTAATTAATATTTCCATTATGAAAAGCATCTAGTTTTATTGGCACATTGCATTTATTCAAGTTTCATTGTGTCCCAAGCATATAGAACTATCTCTTAATGGCTTTAAATATTGAATTGTTGGTATTTGAACACAAAACAATAGCAAAATTGTAAATTTGTCCTTAGCAGACTTTTTGTGATGTAGATAGTTGAGAAATATTGAGATCTCCCAACCAACATACGAGTATAAGTACAGATTTTACAAACTCCTATCCAAGTACTTTGCTGTAAACTGAGACTTAAATTATCTGTGGAAACATTTAAAGTTACATGCGTTGGAAAGTCTATATTGGAAAAAATAGTGTTTTTTTTTTGTAATTTCTCAATCTAATTCACTTAAAGACATAAGTTTAGTGTTTTTTGAACCAAAATAATTTATGAAAGAAAAGTGTACTTTACTCAAATTTAATCAACCAGTATATTAGTGTGTCTCTTAATACAAAATCTCTTCTTATAAGCCAAGTAATACAATAGGAAACATTATCTACACTAAGTTCATCCACTATTTTGTTTTTTGACGCAGCAAAATCCTTTCGTCTTCTGGGGCATAGGGAGTTGGGCGTTTGATCTTGGTTCGAAAGACAATTTACTTTCGCTACTTTTATCACTTTTATCACTTTTATCTTTTGAAGAATCTGCAGATTCACTTGATTCTTGAGATTTCGGTTTTTCAATCACTGGAAGTTTTGAAGAATCTTCAGATCCACTTGATTCTTGAGATTTCGGTTTTTTAATCACTGGACGTTTTGAAGAATCTTCAGATCCACTTGATTCTTGAGATTTCGGTTTTTTAATCACTGGACGTTTTGAAGAATCTTCAGATTCACTTGATTCTTGAGATTTCGGTTTTTCAATCGCTGGAAGTTTTGAAGATTCTTCAGATTCACTTGATTCTTGAGATTCACTTGATTCTTGAGATTTCGGTTTTTCCTCTTCCGAGTCGTCCAAGTCGTCATCGGGCGGAGACGGAGGGGGTGGAGATATTTTCGGTGAATTACGTCGTTGAGTCACCATCGGGAGCACAATGATGTATTGTAGGTTCGACTGTACCCAGTATTGTGAAGATGTAGGGTTTGATGTTAAAGCTGAGTAAACCTCATTGTTTTTGTTTGCCCATTTAACTTTTACAGGGTCTTCATCGCGAAGATTTTTATTGGACAATGTCGAACGGGCACGTTTACTTTTTGCTGGGGAATCAGTTGTATTTTGATTGGATACTTTTACTATTGCCCGTTTACTTTTTGTAGGGTAAAACGTGTTGTGTGGAGGGAAAAACGAAGGCTTTCTAGTTTGTTCTTCACCACTGCTATCGCTGTCGGACGATTCTTCATCGGACACTTTTGGCTTAACATGACTTAGGCCTATATCAGTTTCAGTTATATCCCACCTCGTTGGCTTCCTCGAGGATACGTTTTCCTCCCTGTTTTCCTTCGTACCACAAAATTTCTTCGGTGGAATCTTCTCGAGTAAAGTTTTTGTTTTGGATTGTTGTCCGTTGATCTTGATGTTTACACTTTTAGATGATGTATCTGATAGTGATTTACAATTTGTACATAATAATTCACAACATTTATGTGTTGGTGTGCACACAATCGATTTGATCTTTTCACACACTGGCATTGTGGGTTGTTTTAATATCTGAAATGCATATTTCAGATTTCATCACTACAACGGGAACTATCTAACTAAGATATTTATTAAAATAATGTTGACTTTGTTTCATAATCTTATACTAAAGTGGATTGTATATGTTGACAAAGTATGTTGTCAAAACGCTTTCTATATAATGAAATGAACAAAGCAAAGTATGAAATTTGCTTTAAGCCGTTGCTATTAAAGGTTAAGTGTAGGCCTATAGGCTAAAATACGCTGGTGTGGGGCGATTTTAGACTTTTTTCCCTCGTTTGACACCAACCAATATCATCTAAAATAAAATAACCTAAAATTTAACCTAAAAATACAAAAATGTTTCATTGTCCCAAAAGACTTCCTTTTTAAAACGTTTTTATTAGCTCGCTTTCTTGTCCGGTACAAATTTTGCAATCAATTTTATACTAACTTCCCTATGAGCTGGGGACTTGAAACTTGAAACATAGCTCACAAATGGAAGACAATGCAAAATTATATAATTTAATTTTCATATTTCCCTTGGGCTTGTTTTTGTTAAGTCGCTTTCTTGCAAATTTTGATACTTCCTGATGAGCTATAGAGACTTGAAATTTGAAACACAGCTCACAAATGGATGACATTGCAATATTATATCATTTAATTTTCATAAACGTCCTTGGGCTACGCCCCACGGGCTTATTTTTATTAGCTCGCTTTCTTGCAAATTTTGATACTTCCCGATGAGCTAGAGACTTGAAATTTGAAACACAGCTCACAAATGGATGACATTGCAATATGATATCATTTAATTTTCATAAACGTCCTTGGGCTACGCCCCATGGGCTTATTTTTATTAGCTCGCTTTCCTACAAATTTTGATATCAATTTTAAACTAATTTCCCGATGAGCTAGAGATTTGAAATTTGAAACATAGCTCACAAATGGATGACAATGCAATATTATATCATTTAATTTTCTTATTTCCCTTGGGCTACGCCCCATGGGCTTCCAAATTTGCCATGTTTACATTTTGAAAGAATGTAAATATATCAATTAATTTAAGTCCTACAAGCTGTAAATACTTAAACTTGACAGTTCAAAGAGCAGAGGTTAAGAGGTACAGGTTATGCTCCCAAGAGATTATTTATACAAACAAACATTTCAAAATAAAGATAAACACTGATTGCAGATATAAAGGTGTTTGTTAATAATGTCAATTGTTATTTCTGTAGTACGGTATTCTATAAAGTAAACAACGAATTGAATAGATTGATATATTTATAGTTAGTAGATAGGCCATATATATTTAATCTAATACATAAATATATGAAAAGAAACTCAAATACACCTTAGATTTCCCACATGCCTCTGTCTTAATCTGATATAGATGCTTGAAATAGATTTAACATCCACACACATTAAAAACTAAAAATAATTTAGCCTATAAATAAAAATCTTTTTTTAAAACAAAAATAAAAATCTTCTTTAAAACAAAAATAAAAATCTTTTTTAAAACAAAACGTTTTTAAACGCACTAAAAAGTAGATAATAATTTATAAGTACTGTATGTAGAGAGTATAAATACTTGTAAGATTTCAAACGAAAAACGTGGGGTGCATGCAATTGATAATAATACATTAGTTCAATAGGTGAAGGTAATTGTAAATTATCTATTGAATGCACCCCACGTTTTTTGTTTTAAATCTTACAAGTTTTTATACTCTCCACATATTTATAAATTATTTTCTACTTTTTAGTGCGTTTAAAAAGTTTTGTTTTAAAAAAAGATTTTTATTTATAAATTATTAAGGTATTAGCCAATCTGATCTAAAATAATCTACTTAACTAACCTAACTTTAACATAGGCCTACACAAAACATTTCAATATTGAAAAATAAATATCTTTTTCTAACTAATGTCTTTATTTTATACTTTGCTTGACACACCTGTAATAGGCGTAATAGGCTGGGATGAAATTTGTTTGAGCAAAAATGCTACAAACTTTCAGACAACTTTTGCAAAAATATTATTCTTTAATATATTTGCAACAAAAAATGCAAACTAAAATGCTACCGTAGCTTAAATCCTGATAGAATGGCTAGTCAAAGTGTATAAAATTCTAAAATTGTTATTACTCCATTTATACGTTGTCTAATAGATTCAACAATTTAATGCAGGCATTCTATACAAAACAAAACTACTACTAAAATTTACTAAAATTGGCATTTTTTTTTCTGTTTTGTAAAAACTATTAAAAACAAAATTTGATAAAATTGGTTGGATTAAAAAATAACTCTTACCCTTCCTTAACTCCTAATATCCAATCATAATTTCATCATTCTTTTTGGTATTGTGCATGTAACATTGTCTACTGGGGATTTTTGTGTGTATAATAAAATTAAATATAGGTTATATTATGTTTTAAAAACTGTTTTGTTAATTGCAATTTGAAAACAAACTATTTGCTACCATATGATTGGATTTCTGATAAACTGTGAACATATGTTACAAAACTTGTTTTCTTTTTTCCAGTTAATGTTTGTTGTGAAATTATTTACTAGTAATACAGTTTTAAATTCTGCTTAATAAGTGAAAATTAGGTAAAAAAAAACTCAATTTTGTATTTAAGGAAGAACCTCTTTTGATTTTTTAGTGCTAAAAGGTTTTGTTTATAAATTTCATAAGGTAGGTAGGCTATAAGGTTAATGGCAAGGGCAATTTTCCTTAGTTTTCCCTACACACAGGGATTTTTTAATGTTTCCAATTCATAGAATTCATTTGAAAGAATTAGCCTACCTCAATATTTGGGAAACAAGTTGTATTTAAAGTTTCTGTTGGGTTAAAGAATACTGAACAATTGTTCGTTTTGGTAATACTGAACTTATACTACTTATGTTATAACTGCATTTTTTGCCTTATCTACCTAAATTAGACTATTTTAAGCACTTTTTACCATTGGCACTTTTGGGGAAATGTCTATTTCACACCGAAAATCACATTTGAAAGTCAAGAAAAATGCTAGTAATCAATGATTTTCGGGTCATGAAAATTTTCTTTTTAACTTAGGGTGTGTTTTTTAATTATTTAGTCAATTGTTAACACTTTTTTGGCAAATGCCGTTTTTACCCAGGAAACCAGGTTTGAACAATCGTAAAAAATAGTAAAGTGACAAAAATGACACATTTGTGGGTAAACCAAATTAAATATATAATTAACTTACCTAACCTAACCTAACCTAATTCATGCTTAGGTTAACAAGGTGCCAAAATGACCAATTTTGGGTAAACCCTGTTTAAGTTAAGTTAGGTTAGTATTAAGTTATTGACTCAAAGTAAAAAGAAGTTGTAGGCCCTATACAGTTTCTTAACTTAGCTATGCTAATACCGATTATTAGTAAACCTTTATTCGATGTTTTCACTATCAGCAAGTTTGGTTGGTTAGGTTAGGTTATGACAGTTTAATTTTACAACTCATATAGTACCTGGTAAATATATCTATTTTCAAACGATATTTTCAATGTGATAGTTTCAATCGATATTAGCATAAGTTAGTGTAGTTAAGTAACTGTACCCAAAAAGTTTTTCATGCGTCTAAAATTGCCAATTTCTAGGATTTTTCTTGATTTTCAAACACGATTTTCAGGGTGTAATAGGCTTTTCCCCCAAAAGTGCCAACGGGAAAAAGTGCTTAAAATAGTCTAATTTAGGTAGATAAGGCAAAAAAATGCAATATAACATAAGTAGTATAAGTTCAGTATTACCTTTGTTTTAAATAAAGATTGCATAGGTTATATAGACAAGGTGCAACTACAGCATTCAGGAGTACTTTATTGGTGTACCGGTAATTAACTAGCCTATATAATTTTTTTGTATATGTTAGCCTTTCTTTATCGACAGTGTTGTGTGTTTTATGTTCCTAGCTGTTATTGAATGTCTTGTGACAGCAAACTATTGGTTTCATATTGTGTAGTTTATTTATATAGCCTAGTAAAATGTAAAGATACACTTTTGATAAGCCATCAATGAAAAAATATCAAGTTTATTTATTAATCTTAAATTTCGAAAATAGTTTTACACGTTTTAGCTTGGTGTTTTCTATGATTACTTAATTGAACATTTTTAAGGTTATGTTTTTAGGAAAAAGCATTCAGCTTGGATTAAAGAGATATAATAAACATCCCTTTAATTTAAAATTGATTATTGTAATTGATTTTTTCTGTCAACCGTCATTCATTTTTTTACTTCCTATAATGAACACATCTCAATACCGTAGTGTAATATTTTCTTGATACTACCAAATACTAAAGTTGTCTAATCCAATTAATATTTGTTTCAGAGAAACAGACGTTTCCAAGATTGCTGACGATTTCCTTTCGCTGAATTTGAAAAAGTTTACAAGAAACTCAACAATAGACAAACTCCAAGAATCCGTAGCTGACTTCTCCTTATCAAACATTGAACAAGACTTGCAAGAGATGAGCGCAGAAAAGGCGATGCTGCTGCAACAGATTTTCAGTGATTGCCAGCTGAGGCACTTGAACAGCAAGTCATTTTGGTCATCGCCATCTTCACAGCTGCAGAGTTCAAGAAGAATGTCCCCATTGGCAGGTTCTACCATTGGATCTCCCAGAGCAGGTGCTGTTGAGGTTGTCAAACCGAGCGTGGTCAACCAACATGTAAAAACTGCAGAAAATTTGAAAACATCTTTCTCCATGGCCTCTTCTACTTCTTCAAATTTCAGTGGCTTTGCTGTGAATAAAGCTCAGGCTTCTGCAAGTGTTGCAGGATCAAAGATTCCTTCTCAAGGTGTGCAAGCATTTAGCTCCAGTGCTGAAGTAGCACCAAAACCTAATGAAGCACCAGCCAACTGGGTCTGCAGCTCGTGCAAGTCTCCTGGTTCAAGCTCAACCAGTGTTTCTCAAACCAGTCAGCCCGTATCACAGTCTATTTTTGCTCCCACTACCACAGCTTCAAAAGGCTTCTCCTTCTCTTCTCTTGCAGGCTCACAAAGAACCCCGCCATTTAACACTCCATGTCCTCCCTTTGGTTCTGACAGGTCTTCAGTTCAACCAGCTGCTACTTCCCAACCGTTTGTGACTTTAGGTAAAACGTTTACTTTCACCACAACAGCGTCTACAACTGTAGCTTCGACTATGTTTACTAATAGTTTCTCCAAGACTGAAATGCCCAAATCGACCTCGTCTTCAACACTCCCATCAACACCGAAAAGTGCTGCATCGGAAAGTGGCTTTGGCTTGAGTGTTTCAGCCCCCCAGGCTACAGCACCTGCTAGTCCCCTGGCTTCTCTATCTTCATTAGTGTCTGGAATAGAACCGTTGAAACCTTCCAAGGAATCACCTGTTAGAAACCAAGCATCAGGAGAAATCGCAAAACCGGTTAGTCAACCGTTTGTCTTCAAGATTCCGAGTGAAAATAAAGCCAGCCCTGCAAAGGATTCGGAAGTCACTCCCCAGAAACCATCAACGTTTGGTTTCCCGACAGCAAATAAACAAGATTCAAAAGATGCAGTTAGCAGTGCAAGTGATGGTAATCAGTTCGGTGGTGCTTTCAAAAAACTTTTTGATAGTACACCGACCAAGTCTATTTTTGGCGGGAACCCCGCTATAGTTACTTCAGATTCAGGACAAGCTCCAACAAATATGTTTGGTTTTTCAAGCACAACTTCTTCAAGTGTGTTTTCTGCAAGTAGCAACATTGCTGTTTCCTCTCAAAGCCAAAAGCCTGTTTTTGGAGTTTCCACAACCACACCTTCGAGTCTCCCAGCAATGCAAGTCAAGCCTGCTGAGACTCAAGCTGAAGAATCAGGAGCTGATTCTACATCTCCAGTGATAGAGGTGTGTATCACGCCTCCTAGGAGTGGAGTTGAACCGAAAGCGTCTATAGAAAAACTTGAAAGTATCAAAGGAATAACAATTACCAAGGTCGAGTCTCCTGGTACAAAGTCTGCCCTTGAAGCACCTCTGGCAGATTCAAACACACCAGCGTCTCCAATGTTCGGCAGCTCATTTACCACCCCTACTAAACCGAGTTCAACCAGTTTTGGTGGCTCTCCAATTATCAAGCCCTCAGTGATGTATGAAGTTTCAAACCCAGACACACAACTTACACAAGAACAACCAGAGGGAAAAGCATTAGAAAAAGTCCCAGATTTAACAAAACCACAAAGCGTCTTTGGAGGAGCCGTAGCAGTTACAGCTCCTACATCCTTTAGCTTCTCCTCTCCAGCGCAATCAAAAGACACCACACAGGCAGGAGCTGGATTTACTTTTGGTTTGAAAACACCTGAAACTGCCTCCTCCACCTCGGCTACACCTGTCATTTCTGCACAAGCCACTTCAACATTAAGCTTTGCTACAGCAACCACCTCAACTACAGCTTCCCCTGCGTTTAGCTTCAGTCTTTCAACATCTAATGCAACCACTAGTGCCAGCAGCACGTTCGGTTTAGGAGGTCTTACGACAGCTCTATCCTCAGAGGACAAATCCAAATCCGCTTTTTCGTTCGGACAGCAGGCACAAACACCTGTTACTACAGCTGCAAGCATCTTTGGAGGGTTTGGCTTAAAAGCTGCAGAAAGTACGCCTGTGTTTGGACAGTCGTCTGCTCCCTCATCTACTGCTGCTGAACAAACAAAAAGTATTTTCGGTCAAGCCTCCTCGACCACTAGTGAAACCAAAAGTATCTTCGGGGGCGCTGCAACCGGTTCAGAAGCCAAGAGTGTTTTTGGGACTCCTGTGTCTGGCTCTGAAACAAAGAGCGTTTTTGGGGTTCCTGCTTCTAGCTCAGAAACAAAGAGCGCTTTTGGGGCTCCTGCTTCTGGCTCGGAAACAAAGAGTATATTTGGAACTCCTGTTACGAGTGCTGAAACTAAAAGTGTTTTTGGAGCCGCTTCCACCAACTCAGAGACCAAAAGCATTTTTGGGACTCCTGCCACCAGCACAGAGACCAAAACCATTTTTGGAATTCCTGCCACAAGTTCTGAAACAAAAAGCATTTTTGGAACTACTACCAGCACCGAAACCAAAAGTATTTTTGGCACACCTGTGAGTGCTGGTGAGACTAAAAACATTTTTGGAACCCCTGCCACCTCTTCAGAATCTATAAGTGCATTTGGAACTCCCTCGTCCACAACTGAAACTAAAAGCATGTTTGGACAACCGGCAGCAAGTGAAAACAAGAGCATCTTTGGCCAATCTGCTGCAGCTGGTGGTGAAGCCAAATCTGATTTTAGCTTCTCCCTCTCTTCACTTTCAGTAGCAACAACAGGGCAGTCATCCTTTTTTGGCACTCCGACAACAAACACAAACAGCTTTTTCGGCCAACAAATCTGCAGCCCTACTTCCGCCGCCAGTTCTCCTTTTGGTCAGCCGACTACTACTCCTTCTGGCCCCTTTGGAACAGCGTCTCCAGCTTTTGGCTCTCCTGCTACCTTTGGACAATCTGGTGGATCGCTTTTCGGCAGTCAGTCAAGGTAAGACTTTGTTTTTTAAGTGTTTTGAAATTTAAGGTTATGAAAGAAATTAGGTTTGTTTAATTAATTTGTTTAAAGTGAAAAGCTATGAACTTTCTTGCATACTTAATTCTAGCAAGATACGAGGGTTGTTCAGGAAATGAAGAACATTTTTGAAATTGGACAGAATTTTAATTCATTACATGTTTCCACTCACTTCACACTTGACAATACATTTTTATAGGATTTTATTTAAGTGTATGGCCAACAAAATCCGTATTACAGACCACGGTTCTTTAATATTTTTCCCCTTTTCTACTTTTAGCAGTGGAGGGTTTGGTGCTAGTGGCGGGTCCATGTTCGGAGGTGGTTTTGGATCCTCCCAACCTAGCAGTCCATTTGGATCCTCTCAAGGTACTGTGGTACCGCTTCTTATTTCTTTGTTTTAAAAATTCAAAAATAAATTATGATTTGATGGAAATAAATTTAATCTTGTGGAGTTGCACAGTAGCTCTGGAGATAGCCGCAGACATTAGTAGTCTTTGAGTAACAGAAAAAAATGCACTGTGACAATGTTTTATCCAGCCTTCAAGAAATTAAAAGTTGTTGTAAGGTGGTTGCCATAAAACATAACCAATTTTTCTTCAACTGTCAATCAAAATTATTGCAAAAGAAAACCAGCTAACATTTTGACTATGTGTTGTCGAGTAGATTTTGCTTAACTTATGGAAGAGAAGTAACCTATGAACAACACAATTAAATAAAATGTTTTTAGTTTTATTCTTGGATTCTAAGAAAAATGTTTACCCATCGCAATTACGTTTCTGTTTTATAGGAACAACTGGAAGTATGTTTGGTGGAGGCTCATTTAGTTCCGGTGGACAGTCTGTTGGACAAACTGGTTTCGGTTCACCAGCTTTCCAGAACAAACCTGGTAAGTTATCAAATTATGTTTATCGGATAAAGTTACGATGATGAGGTTAGCCTGCTATTAATTTAGCGAGAACAGTGTTAATCAGAAGATAATTTTATAGCTTGTATTTTTTTTTTGAATTTACAACTAATAAGTTGTAGCTAACTATATTAAATATTTGAACTCAAATAGGTAAGGCTGTTTGCAAATTGCGACAGACATAAAAAAATAATATATTTTGTCTGCAGTCATCTAAAAAAGCGAGTTACAAGAAGAGTAGGGTTTGAATGTAATTCTTGAAAACCGGTGGTCTGTGAATATCCAGAGGAAAACTGGTGTTTTTATTCAAACTTTCTTCATATTGTTGATAGTTTTAACATACTTTGAATGTTTGCAGCTGCCTTTGGGTCTACTAGCCCGCAGCCAGCATTTGGAGCTGCCCCAGCGTTCGGAGCAGCCCCAACCTTTGGTGGCTCTCCTGCCTTTGGAAGCCCTCCCAAACTCTTTGGGAGTCCAGCGGCACCCACTCCAGGTGAGAGGTCTTTTGGATTTTGTATTAATTTTAAATTTTATTACTACTCCATCCATTCAACTAGTAAGAGCAGAGCTCATCATCCTCTCTCTCGATTTTGGTGAAATCGCTGAAAGTTGGAACAAATCGTCCCAAGAAACCAAACATAACCCGGATATGTTTTCCCTGAAATTTCTGGACCCATTCATCCTTATTTTTTTGCGTTTGCTTCCATAAGTACTAGAATCACTTTTGCATCATCTGTGTACAACAATACTAAAACTAATATTTAGTGACGAGTCATTGATATAAATAAGTAAAAGAAGAGTCCCCAAACTTTGCCTAGCTGTTTTGTCAGATTTAAATTGAGGACTGTTGTTAGTTTTCTCAAGAAATCTATCCAGCCGTATGGTTCAACGATGAATACATGGTATAAGTTCTTTGACTAACAGAAAAAAATGATTCAAGCCATGGCAATGGAAATTGTGAGATTCGAGTTTCTTGACTAACCATAAAATCCATCCTTAGGTTTTGGCAGCACACAACAGTCGTCCACGTTTGGTAACTTGGCGAATCAGAACACGATGACATTCGGTAACCTGGCACAAAATCAGACGCCGGTGTTTGGCGGAGGCAGCATCTTCGGTGGGGCTCAACAACAACAACAACAACAACCAGCCGCGCCGGCTTTTGCTCCGGCTACCACCAGCTCCTCCTTTGGGTGAGTTTTCGTCTCAGGTTTTTTTATATAATTTGTAATTTTATCTCATTGATTGTTTGATTTTCCACTGATTTATTGTATGGTTTATTAATACACAAAATACAACAACAAATACATAAAATTGTAAAGGTTCAAATTTGTAGGGGAGGAAATTTAGGCTGTATCGTTTCGTTACGAGGTTAAACTATTTTAATGAAGACCAATGTTTACCTGGTGTTTGTAGAAAGGGAAGAGTCATTTAATTTGTTGTATTATATTGCAATGCGTCACAAAATAATTACAATAAAAGAAAAATATTTTTCTGTCACTAACATAGATTTTATTTGGGAAGAGAAATGTTTTCAGGTCCAAACTTATCTTATATCTCTTCCCAAATAAATCAAAACTTCCTTGATTGAAAATACTTCCAGTTAAATATTTTAATTTTTGTGTGAACAAAGTTTTTTGTATTTCTTGTGCTAGAATGGACTCTTAATTCAGTTAAGCCTGCTATAGTATGTTAGTATATGAGAGTTGGAATATTTTTACTTCTACATCTTAAGCAACATCTTAGAATAAACCAAACACTTTTTATCCATTAAGCATGTAAGTGAAGGTAAAGTTGCATTTTACAGACTGATGAAAAATCTTATTTTCAGGGGGAGTTCATTTAGCAGTTGGAGATAAAGACCTGCGTAAACTAAGAGTGTCATTACCTTCCCTTGAAGAGATAGCTAGTCCTATGTAACTAGTTGGACTATTTCCTAAAGTTGAAAATCCTAAACGAGAAGTCCAGACTTAAAAATCAAACTCTTCTGGACAAGTACTCCTTAAAAATTGTCTACAAGTAGCAAAACATTTCCGTTGTATAAAATGTGAATATAAAAATAAAGTAAGTCTTTTCACTATTTTATTCATGTTTTATTTGACATAACCTTATAGCAAAAATTAATATAAATAATACTAACATTTTAAATGATACAGTATGGGTGCATATAAACTTTTATGAACAAATATGAAAAATGCTTACTAGTCTAACAACTAGTGATGTGTCGAATATGAATCTTGAATCTCATATTAGTTATGCCCATTTTTTTTGTGTATGCTACCACAACCCATGCGTTCAAGGCAATTTTTTAATCCTTAAAAAGCAGTACCAGGACGCAAACTGACTGAGCAAAACTGAATGCTAATCAAAATTGAAACTCTATATGTTAAAGGCCACCTAATTTTGAAGTTTTTAATCCTCTTTAAAGACAAGTAGTAGCCATAGACAAAAATTAGAATGATATACGACCTAATTTTAATGGTCCAAAACGTTTTCATTGCATTTTGTTAACCGATGCATGTTTACCAACATAATTCCCTGAACCAAAAATTTGCGTAGGGTACATTAAGATGTAAGCAAATATTTTTGCATAATATTATCCTAACCTGGATTCAAGGCTCGATCTTAAAATCAAAATCGAATAAGATACAAAATTCTCATATTCGACCATCACCATTAACAACTAAAACTAAAGTAATTTGATATGGTAAAGCTCATAAAATAAATTATTTACACTGAATTTCATTAATAATAATCTCTTCATCATATTCTGGCCATAAATATAATTTGGAATAGAGAGCATTTGAGTATAAAGGTGATAACTGTGCAAACAAACCTACAAAGTGCATAAATTAATTCTGAACTCATTCAACGTAAATGTGTTTGAACTGACTAGAAATTTGTATTACTTTGACATTGTTCAGTTTGCCATAAAATCTACAATGTCTCTAAGAGAAAACATGAAATTAAGTATTTTATTAATTCTCTTTTGTTTTGTCTTCAAGGGTAACATTTTACTTGGATATATATTGAAGAAGAATATAAATCTATAACACGATAAGTTAAGTTTTCAATGGCTTTTTTATACTAAACAATAACTTTTCCTGCACAAAATAAAGAGAAAATTCACAGTTAGTAGAGTATTTTTCTCATAAGAAAAATATCATTAAACCAAAAACTTACAGCCTTAGACGCTTGGTTTCCTTATTTTTTTTATGTAAAAATAATTAAAGCATAAAATAGCTGCACATTTTAAATGATACCATTTGTACAATTCAGTAAATACTAACACTGATTTATTTACACGAAAAAGTAAATGGAGAATAGGTCACTAAAAATACCTAACATAAACCGTACACGAGCCTACACTTTACGTGCAGCCTACGAAAAGCTAAATGCAAACATACTCTATGGAGGGCATCATCGTTCTCATTGCACTTTAAAGTTAGAAAGCTTCTGTGTCTCGGTCCCGTGGCAGTGGCTCGCTGTCACGCCGGTGTATAGGTGGTTTGTCGCGTGCTGCTGTCGTCGTGACTTCCTTGATGCTGGTGAGTGTCTTGTGTAACCATGGCGGCCAAGCGTTGCGGGACGAGAGTGCTTGCAATTCGGAACACGTAGCTGCCAGTTGGTGTGTTAGGTCCTGCAATCAGACATAACATTAGGTCGTGAACAAGCTGGAGTACAGTTGTTGTTGTTAGTTCTAGACTAGACCTAGCGATCCTAAACAGAAACAAAGCTATAAAAGGCGTTCGCTGCGGGCCACTCACCGGTGAGTGCTCTAGTTCCTTTCTGCTACGCTGACCGCTCACCCATGAGTGCCGGCATCGCTTACATTCCATTTAATTTATTGCAGCAGCACACCGAGAAGAGCGGGTATTTTTATGTCTGCGTCTAGCTAGGAATGGGTGCTTTATTGTTTTGTAGGTTGGTAGTAAATTTCCCTGTAAAATCCCCTCCTGGCAAGCTTAGAAATCAACTTGTTTACCCGTCTTTCTCCCTCCAAGTGGCAATACAATGGGACTGTCTATTACCAGACAGTGCTGCTATCTGTGAGTGTTTGAGCGAACTACGCCAACTCGTCGTCGTAACGCAGGACATCACCGGACGTCATTTGCTATTTGTCTGACCAAAATATATGAAATCGAAACGGGTTCGCTCGACACTGCCCCGCAGGGGGGCTAAGCTGCGATTAGAGGGCCGCAGCGAACGTGTTAATTGCCCAATCTCCATAACTGCACAGCTGCATGTTTGTTTGACGTACCTGGTTCCGACACTCCGCCTCCACCTGACTAAGCTTGGTCCGAGCCAACTCCAGCTCCAGTTCTTTCACCCTCTGACTGAGGCTAGCCTCCGAGTTGCCGTTGTCAGAGGTGTCCGTGTTGACGACTTCTCGGCACTTCTCACAACCAGCCATCTTTGCCTACAACAACAACAATTAGGTTCAGGCAAACAAGCGAATATAGCCTAACATTTTAAGTTTTTAATGGTAAAAAAATGTAGATTTCAACCAAGCATGGCAGGGAACTGAGCGATCTGTTTCAATTACTGTACTATGCGTGATTGCTGAAGTAAATAAGCAGTCTGAGATGAACCTACGTTTTAAAGGCTTGAAGGGAAATTGAAGGATTGATGAAACCAATATAGAAGCAGCTCCTGTTGGAAAAATTCCCTACAGTAGTCAAACACATGAGAATGAGCTGACGATGAAGATGCAGAAGGTAGGAAGAAGTTGAGGCACTTAGTTGGTGAGACCAAATACCTTCTTGGGTATAAATGGCCTTGGAGAGGTAAGAGTAAATTATTATTATCGCAAGTAAAGAAGCTCATAGGTTAAGTTACTATAAATTATTAAATACTGTTCTTGTACTTAATTCATGAGGTATGACTGATCATATGACTTCACGTATGAGCGTTTATCACATGACTAATCAAATCATAGATTCGAAAAACCCATATGAGTAATCATATGTTAGACTTTCACATTAGTAAAAAATAATTTTGATTCTCTAACACTCAATTATTACAAGATCACAAGATAAATCCTTGCAATCATGAATGTGTTTGAAACATACCAAAATTAGTTAAAATATTTATTTGAAGTTAACTTTTTATTATAATATTTATTTTTTTCAGTAAATGTAACGTTTTTACCCACCTTAAGTTTGTCAAGAGCAGCTTTAGCAGCCAACTGTTCACAGTCCAGTCTTTGGCAGATCTGAAAGCAAATGTGCTCGATTTACCACCTTGGCTAGGTATTTCGTTGACGTAATCAGCACAGAATTGTTTCAACTTTCAACATTAGTTGTCTTTACCATTTACAAGCCAGTAACGTTGGCAGCCTTTTTTTTGTGTATCAGCTTCAAAGCCATTGTGGCAATTCGACTTCTTCTCACCTGCTCGGAACTATTTTAGTTTCAAAGTTGCTGACTTGTATCACTACGTTAATTTATTTGTTGACGTTATTATAATTCTTTCTTATCTGGCCAGTTCTGCTAACCATTCAACCATTTAAGTGATTTTAATGTTTGACAGTACCACTGGTTACCTGAGTCTGGACAACCAATACAGGGTTGCCACCTTTGGTTAGGGAAAAATCCAAACGGCCTCTCTATGGTGATAGTCAAGTACCAAGTTGTAGTTGCCAATGAAAGTAAGAAAAACCTTATCCACTGGTATTAAAAATACTACACATTGTATAAGTTTTTGTAATGTTTATTAAGATGATCGCATTTTATTTTAGGTTTTCAGCATAAAATAATTTATAAAATCTGTAGGCACTAAACAGTGAAAACATTTTGAAACATTGAGAAAAAGTTTACCTTAGAACTGTATCTGAGAATCAAATATTTAAAAAATGTAAAATGACCATGGGTATTAAAAATATCACAAACAATGATTTTACAAAACGTTACTATCAAATCAAGAAAACGGTATTTTACCTGTTTGTAATCATTGATGATGGATATATGACGATTACTATCGTTTTCTGCCTTCTGAACCTCTTTCTTCAAGATTTCTTTCACCTGAAAAGTAAGTAAGAAATGCAGTCCAAGTAACAAAAACAACATAACATCAGTCTTAAGATAATGATTAAAATTTGCTTCTTAATAGATTTATTTTCTAAAAAACTGCTTTAACAACATCCTTTACACCCTAGAAAACAATTCACTTCCTTGTACAATTAAATTCTCAACAGTTTACTACGGTTGGGAAAACACCAGGGTTTCCCACTCTGTCTCACTCCTTTATGTGTATAGTCCCCTGACACCTGGGAGTTGTGTGTTAAAGAATTAAAAAAAAAAACCTAATCCAAACAGTTTCCTGCGGAAGAAAGAATTTTCTACATTACGAGAAGTCTACAAACAATAAGTCAATAGTACCACTTGGTCCTGACAAAGTTTAAGAAAGTCCTAAAAACTTTTAGAAGGGAATTTTGCAAAAGAGTTAACAAACAGCTGATTACAATTAATTATTTACCACAAACTTAAATCCCAACCTAATTCTAAAATTATGAACTTGACTATTTGTGAATGTGATAGCAGATTTCAAACCAATTCTTAACATGTTTTAACAATTTGGTTCCCTTACCTTTTGAAGTTCATCCTCTAAACGTTTCTTTTCTTCGTCAGTTCGCAGAAGTGTGTACTTAAGCTTTTCAAGCTCGCTGGAATATTGGTCATCATTGTCTTGTCGTGCTGAAACAATAAAAAATTAACTCATTTTGGCGGATGTCAAAGTAGGTAAACTCACGTTTAGTGAAAAGTTTTTAAAATTTATTTTCTTATTTTATATTTTTATGGCATGGTTAAATTTTGACTCAGACCCTAAAAGTCCTGTTTTTAAGTTAAATTAACATATTCTGAGTACCTTGTGATAACAAATTTTAAAACAGACAATATTAAGGGTAGGAAACAAGAACAATCATACAAATTATGTATTTAAGTATTCCGTAGAATATTTATTTTATAAATATTACAAAACTGTAAAAACTTGTTTTCTATAACAATTAATGTCAATGTTTAAAACAGTTAAGGTAGTACAGACAATAATGCACCAAAACATATTGACAAATTGTGTGAACTGTGTTTTTATAATATTATGTCAAATATTTCACTAAAAATGTTTCATTAACTGTACCCCTACATAGATAAGATATTCCTACATTAGCAATAAAAAAAAACTGAATGAAACCGTCCTGAAGTTCTCGTACTTAATACAATCCATGTAGAATATAGATGGACAAAATATTGCTATTTCTGTTTAAAATTTACAACTGTTGAAAAACATGAAAATCAAAACATTTTTCAAAAAAGGGCTAATAAACTATACTTTATACCAATCTTAAATTGTTGAACCGAAACAAACATAATGCTAAAACATCCTATTCATAATTTAACAAAAAATTATATTTAAAATTTAAAAAAAATTTTCATATCACACAAAAATACATAGGCCTACAACAAATTTTCCTGAGACAAAAAAATATCCACTTTCTACAAATAACACATATAGTTAAAAAACTAAATAGTTTTTCTAAAAAAAATTTTTTCTTGAAACTATAAGACTCACAGTTAGTATATGGACAACAGAAGCAGGTAGACTCAACGTCCATAACAGTAGCTAGAGCCAGAACTAGCCTAGTCAGAGGCATAGGACACACCTGCGAGGGTGTCCGAGCGGAACGCATGTGCGGACTACACCCATTACACCCAGATGGTAACATTCCCCCACCACTGATGTATTGGGTATACTTTATTTCACTAGTGTTTCAAATAGAAAATTGTCTTCTCAAAATAATTACTGGTTGCTTTCTACATATAGTCGATCACTTATTCAATTTCCATATTGTAAATTTCTTAGGTTTTGAGTGATAGTCGTAGTACTACGTTGAATTATTTAATGTAAACTATTTTTAGACATTAACTGTTTTAAGGTAGTGTGTTAACACAAAATAGCAGGAGTTTGTTGTGAAAATAATATAGAATTAAGTACATTAGTTTTTTGACAACACACAAATGTTTTATTTTAAAACTAAAGAGTGCATATGGTTTGTCTTTTATTAATTAATTTTTTCTATAAATTTATTTTGTATGTATATAGTTTATTCAATGTTTAAAATTGAAGCTTAAGATGGATAACTTAATGGACGCTTAACACTAAAAGATTATATAAGTTTCGACCCTTGACTTCTAGAATTATTTAAGAATCAAAAAACTTAAAAAACACAGGTACAAAAAATATTACTTATTATAATCCTTATAGGCTACAATACAAACAACAACAATACAATACAATTTAACATTTTTTTAAACTTAAATAAAACCTTGCATAAACCTACAAATATTAGATTTTTTTTTAATTACTACAAAATTAAATTTGAAACTCCTGAACAAACTTTAACGATACACTAAACTACACATCACAACTTGACACAATTTCAGAACTGATTCCTAAAAGAATAAACAAATTTCCTAAACAAAAGCCATAGACACGTAGTTGCTGTCCTATCACAATCTGAAGTTGTGTCGTGTCGTAAATACAAAGTATCTACACAGATGTTAACACCTGAGAAACAGACGCTCCAGTCATTGTTTTAAGGTTTTTAATTTGTTGGCTGTCAAAACAGCTGATTCTTTGACAAGTCTGTGAGACACGTCTGATGTTTAAACATAAACTGCTTCTGAATAAGTAGTTTATGTGGAAATATTGTTCAATATTTACATTGGGTTTTACTTTTGTTATATTTGGCCTAATAGACATGAAAGTTTAGAAAATTACAATTTACATCGTGATGTATTTTTACCAGCTTTAAAATGCCTTAGACTTGAATTGATTTTATTTAGAATAATTCCATATTTTATAACTTCTAAAATATTAAATTCGTGAATCCGGGAAAACCATTTGAATTTTGATCGGTAATTTTTTTTGGAGTAGGAAGCGTAAATTGGCATTTTGACGTCACAGACACAATGACAGACAGAAAGACAGGCAGAATTTGGGATAAGACTCGATTTGGCTTTCTTAGGCTATGCTATGAAACAAAAATAACAAAAAAACGTCACTACTCAATGTACGGACAAAACTTAAATTATTACATTTATATACATAATATTATAAACAATCTTTAAAACTATCAATAAGTTAGATTCAAAATTACATATAGCTAAACTGCTAAACTACAATCCATGTATGAACTAGAGCTAAGTATTTTGGATAGGAAAAAATTATTACTTTAATTATTATTAACTATTATAAAAATATTTAATCCACCATAATTTTGAAAACTTAGCTATATCCAACTCAAGTCTAATGTAAAGGTTTAGTTGATAAACTGGCACCAGTAAATAACGAACTACCCGTCTAAGTTAATCAATTAAAGTAATGTCTTAGCAAATCTACTCAAAGAGGGGTTCTTGTCAGATCAAGTAAAACCACATGGATTCAATTTTCAAAGCAGTATCCTTTCTGGACAGAAGATTTTGTCAAAGCAGAAACCACGAAATTAAAATGGTAATATTTGCTGTAATTTCAAAGTATTTGTTTAATATTTTTATAATAGATGTACACACATTTTTAGCTTCCAAAAATATTTTAAGTTAGTGTTATTTCTTGATTTGACATTTTTAACTGGTTGAGAAATAAATTAATTTTAGGTAACATTTTTTATACATTATGCAGACATTTTCAGTAATTAATTACAATAAAATATACGCAGGAAAAGTTTGTTGTTGTGATAATTTAATGTAGCCTATTGAATTGTCCTTTATTTTTTTATTAAACTACATGTTTCTATTTTGATATAAACAGTATCAGCAAACTGTCACATACTTTCTCCCATTAGCTCATCTACAATCCTTTAAATGGGCAAACGGTGGGAGTAACCATAATATTATATGAGTAAACTCTAAAATCACAACAATTGCAACTTTTGAACCTTATTTTTACAGCATTGGGAGCTGTACAATATTTTAGAGTTAAAATTGACCACAACATACTAAATTTAAAGTTGTTCTCCCATGTGTAGTTATAGCGTTCAGCCATTTTGTTAAGTGATACTTGAATAGGTAGTGGTTATATGTTTGGGTGTGTTAGGCATACGTCCAATCTAGTAACTGTTGGAAGTCAAAGGGTTAAAATAAAACATGATTTTTTACCTTGTAAAGCTATGACGACACTGACAATCGTTTCATTACAGTTTGCTAAATGACTAGACGCCATCTCTAGCGTTGCAATGCACCATAATTATGTTCCCAGCAGCCTAAGCAGTTGGTTCAAATTGAAAGATAACAGCTATCCAGTAGGACTGCACACATGATAACAGCTGATTGTGTGTCATGTGTTTTCCGTTTTTATATTTCAACCATATGATAATACTTTTAACTGTTGTTTATCTCGTTTCTATGGTTATGTTTTACAAGTTCACTTCTATTAAAATTAAAACTGTTCTAAAAATAAAATGACTATCATTTAATACAAAAATATGATTAACTACCAATAATTATTTTGAGCTCTTGGCAATCTATTGATTGCATGATTATGCTGCATACGATTTCGTAGCTAAATTAGATACGATACTAGCAAAAATTAAAACTGCTAACCTAACGAAATAGAGACATTAATATCAACATTATTCTCAAAACTGTATATTGAATATTTGAAAACAATTGTAAACAAGACAGATTGGGGTTCCGTCTTATTCAGCTTCAATTTCCGTTTATTACTTTACAAATAAGTTACATCATTGTATAAATGAATCCTATATAAATATAAAATCCATCGGGGGTACACACCAGAGTTTTAAAAGGTTTACAAATCAAGAAAAAATTTGTCACAGCAAACATGTTAAATAGTTATCTCACAGATTAATTGTACCACTTAAAAGTTATGATACTCAGGAAAACAAGTTTGCAAATCTTTTTCCAAAGTTTTTCCTACTCACTTTTCGCTTTTTTTACTCACCTTTAAGTGCCAGAAATTCCTGCTCGTACTTCTTGAGCCGCTTCACCTTGATGTTACAAGCCATCTTCATAAGTTGGCGAGCTGTCTCTTCGTTACGGCATTTCTTGGGCAACGTGACACGGAAATACTTGAGGATACTCTCGAAATCTAGCTGCATCAAGTCTTTCTTGTACATCTGAAAGTTGTAGAAGATTATGTAAACTGATTAGTTTTGTGTGTTTTGCCATAATTACTGACAGCCTAATGGTAATGCTAAGATAAGATCAGTGTTGTCTGAGTAGTGATTTTATTCTGTGATTTAATCTTCTCTGAATAGTTTTCTGTCTCATGCCTTTTTCATAAAATCAACCATTCGTGTATAATTTAAATGTGTAATATTTGTTGATTGTTATTTTTTGCAAGAAGTCTATGACTTTTTAAAATTGAATAACACAATTTCATAACAATGTCTTAAATGATTTTATTTTAAATATAAATTCAAGTGTTTAGTAACATATTTTATTCTTGATTTTCATTTTATTTTGACCTATTAAACCAATTTCTTAATTTTTGGTACTTACTTATGGGACACCCTGTATATCTGAAAGATTTTTTTAATTTTTTACACTAATCTAAAATGTTTTAAAATTGTTTATGCCTTGAAAAACATGTGTAGTGATTGAAAATCAAAATATAATTTCTGCGTTGTCATCTATAGTAAGACAAAGGCACAAAAAAAGTGGAAATAATTTTATTTTACCACATTGAAAACAATTACAAAAATAGTCCTACCCGTTTCTTAAATCCAACGTTTTCAACGCTTCTTACATATTTCAAAATTTCCAAAATTGTAACTTCTGTAACCAAAACTTACAATAAGAAGTGCGAGGGCCACTTGAAACAAAGTGTCAGTGCCTTGCAGCAGAAAGACGTCGAGGATGTGAAAGACGAAGTAGAGAGGAAACCTTGCGGTGAACAGTGTGAGGAACCACTGAGACGCAAACATATGAGTCTCCACGCCCTTGTCTGAGAAGTGCTGCAGCAGTGTCGGCACTTGCTCCTGTAAACACGGAAAAAATAGAGGGTGTTGAAAGTCTTAACACACCCAAAAATAAATTAAACGGCGTAAGATAAAATCCAACTTCAACATATCATTATATAGGCCTAATGACTTTTCTAGCTTTTTGCGAGAAATCCAAATTTTGCCCCCCTCCCCTAAAAACCCCTGTAACTAAACATTTTCAAATATAGACATTCATACAACTTGGAACCCCTCCTACACACACACACACAAACCCAATCACCCATGCAATCATGCCGCCTACGGTAATAGCTTCTTTACTATGGGGAAATTTGCTAAACCTAAGCACAGGTATATCAACTAGTAATTAATATTCAGCCTACCTCCATTAACCTGTTGAGCTGGTAAAGCCTCAAGTAGAGACACTCGAAGCCGTCCTTGTAAAGATCCCGCAGACCGTAGTCGTACATCAGCTTCAGCAGAACGCAGAACGCTTGCTCCTCAGGCATCTGTGTAACATGTACTGGATTACTAGAGTAGTTGTACTATGTATGTACATGTTAGAATCTCCAATTAACAATTCTAGGGATACGGGTGGGGGTTGTAAAGAAGTTGTGTTTGGTAATGTTGTGCAAGTAGGGTGAAAAATGTGATCAAGTAATAACTTGATGTGCTGGCCTACAGAAGGCTGTTGATTTCAGCATGTACTTGAACTCAACCTTCACCAGTTGCTAGGAGTTTAGTTTACGAGACTATAGTCACATGACCTTGACTTCAATGTAAGGATGGTTTTACAAAATTTTAGAGTTTAACGTTAAAATTTTTTTTCAAATCAAAGTTTTTATTCAAATTAATCATTTGCATTTACTAGACCACTCCACATTTGGTATTATTGCTAATAGTATTTTCTCAAAATTGTTGAGAATGTTTCTCTTTTTGCACAAATTTTGGGTTTAATTCCTAGGCTACTAGACTATGATGATGAAAATAAGTAGCCAAGTTAGAACAATATTTAAAAATATATTTAACATTTAACGTTTAATCTATGGATTATAAACGCCAAACGGAGACAAAAACAAAACTTAAAATTACAGACCTATTTCCATATTCCAAGGGTTTTCAAAACTTTTACAACTTGTGGGATTACTAACGTGCAACAGCAATGTGGCTGCTAAGAAGCTGAGCCCCTGACAATAGCTGACTTCTGTGTCGTAAACAGCGTAAGCTTTAGAGATCCTGTAGAGGGAGTCCTGTCCCAGTCCACCAGCCTCCTTGAAGAAGTCGTGAGCCGGGAAAGTCCGGTTGATATCCCTCTGGATAACGTTCTCACAGCTGCATTCCTGGAATAGTATGTTGAAAACTTAGTGACAAACTAACAGGTAAAATAAAATAAAGAATTACAACATGATCCAATGATTAAATTATCTGTTCAAAATTCTTTTGCACAAGTTTTTAGGATGAAAATGATGAAGATGAGCCTAACCCAAATAAATTCAGACCACCTTTGAATACAACTTCCCCACCACACCTACCTTAGTTATAAGTATCCTGTACAGGTCCATCATGCTGTTGTCGTTGTCACACTGCGCCAGCCGTTGCCACACCTCGCCTCTCAGCGCCTCGGGTATCCCTTGTCTGACCAGTGGCGACAGTTGCCTCGGAGGTTGAGGCGTCACTGTCCACCGTGCCAGCACATCGGCCCACGACTCTAGCTCACCCTCCGAACAGTCCTTGCTCACCTCGCCGGTCCCACTCAGAATAGGTTCATCACCGTCTGGAAAACAAAAGTCATGTTTGTGAACGTACTGTTAGGAGTGCTCACTTTGAGAAATGATGAAATGGAATACTAAAGTATGATCAAAGGATTATTGCAGTTTTTTTTTTCATCACTTTGGTGAAACAGAATTTTCAAAATGTTTTAAGAAATGTGATCTGGGATCCGATCCCATTTTATTTATTTGGAGGAGTCCAAAACATAACAAACTGGTCACGATAATGTATTTCCATTTTCCCTTCTTGTTCCTGTTTAAATTTAAATGTTCTAAATCTAAATCAATATTTTCTGAGTAATGTCCAGCTTGTGTGCTAATGTTGTTTTGTTATATTCTATATTTCTCCCAGTCTTAATATTGTTTCATAAAAAAACTATTTATGCTATATTTAACCATACATAACGGGTCAGGCAGGGATCGAGCCCACCCCTTTTACCCCAAGATACTAATCACTTTAGCAAAACACAGATGTAATACCTAACTTCTAATAATCAAGCACTTCAAACAACCCTAAGAAGGTTTTTGTACCCAGTGCGAGGCGATAGAGAAAAGTGTCGATTATGGTAGAAAATTACGCCTTTCCAAAAACATTGCTTTGGCCATCAAATCAGCTACCTGAGACATACCCTCCTCACACCTCGCAGTAACTTTCTGCGCAGCCTCACTAAATCAATGAATGCCTGAGTGGTCCAGTATAAGGAATACCCATCGATTACTTCGGTTAGCACATAGTTTTCACCTCTGCAAAATGCCTTAAGGGATGCTTGACTATAACTCTAATTACAGCTGCTACAGTACTTACCAGAGTAAGACTCCTCATCCCTCTCTTCCTTGGGGGTGAGAGTGTCCATGGAAGTGACGCTAGGCGAGTGAATGAAGCTGGCCAGGTTGTTGAGAGTCAGGTTGAGTCTGTTACGATGGTCCAGGTCCGGTGACGGTTCTGACGGCTCGATGCTCAACACCTCGTAAGTGCTCTCGTTGATGTCCGGGCTCAGGACCTGGCAAGAAAAGACGTTAACAGGTTGGTGAGATTTAGTTTACTTCTATCGTTACTATGTTACCAGGCGAGTCAGAATTTGGTTAACTTATACCACATAGTACTGTAAGATTAACAATTGAGGCAAGATTAGTCAAGTCCTACCTAGTTTGGGTAATGCCTAGAGAAGAATTAATTTAAATCAAAATGGTAGCCTTAGATCACTTGGAAAATAAGGTAATTTAAACCAGAAACAATAAGTTTGTGAGCTAATCAGGGATCAAGGTTGTCTGGATTCAATCAATTAAACAAACTTAATAGGAAAAGATAGTGGTATTTTAAGGCTATTTATGCAACCCTTATATTGGGTGTTAATAAAAGATGTGGACATAATTCACATAGTGCTCCTTGGGTCAAAACAAGCAAAAAAAGTTGGTACAAACTATATATCTGCAATCTCGTTTTATTAAACCTTCTGTACCCACTTGACAATGAATTAAAATCTGTAAAATTATTAGGCTTCCAAATTGATTCAAAATTAAATTGGCAAGAGCACATAGAAATCACTTGTAAAAAAATTTCCAGAGTAAATTATCTAATTTGGAAACTCAGAGATTTTGTTAGTAATGAATACCTTCGGATTACTTATTTTGGTTTTTTTTCAATCTCATATTTCTTACGGGATTATACTATGGGGACACTCCCCCCACACCCATGAAATTCTTTTATTACAAAAAAAAAGTCATACGAACAATCTGTGGGGCTGGCCCTGTGGATAGCTGTCGACTTCTTTTTATAGACCTTAAAATTATGACCGTTGTAAATTTGTATATTTTTCACATACTCCTATACACTAAAGCCAATCTTCATCAATTCACTTGTAGAGAGAGTATACACTCTTACAATACAAGAGGCAAATCCAATCTAGATATCCCTGCTCATAGATTGGCCAAAACAGATAACTGCCATAAAAAAAAATTGCATACGGTTTTTTAATAAATTAGGTCTGGCAGCAAAACAGGTTCCTTTTAATAGGTTTAAGTCAAAAATGTTTGAGTGGCTCATCCAAAATCTATATTACTGTATAACAGAGTACTTAGTTTCTGATGTTAATATTAATTTTTAATTTAGAACCCACTGTATTTTATAGCTTTAGTTTTTATTTCTATTGTTGTCTATGTCTATTCCTTGTAAAAGGTCAATGACAATAAAGATCTTGATTCTTGATTCTTGTATGTTTTTTTACAAAACATTCATATCTCAAAACGGTTTAAGCTACAGCTTTAGATTCTGGATTCTGCAAAACTATTTATCTTATTGACCACTATCTTTGAGTAAAATGAGAATAAAAAGTCTTAAATTGTTTCAAAGTAGCGGCTATTTAAAATATTATTTGATTAAAATTTACACAAAAAACTGATAGTTAATGTTACTGAAAAGTTAACGAGATACACAAAATTTAGTACGTGTTATGGATATTCCAATAATATTAGTTGTTTCAAAGTAGTTTATTTATATAAAGTATAGTTATTATTTTCTCATACTGTACTCTTATATTTTATTACACTACTTGATATGTCTTTTGAAAACTCTTACTTTAAGTTTGACAGGAAAATCATGGAGCTTTGGCTACCAACCTTCAGTACATATCCAAAAGTCAGTGATAAAAAGTACACAATTATTCATGAACAAATGGAAAATGAAGTTAATACCAACAAACTATTCTACTTAAGAGGAAAATAAATTCAAACCTTACCTCCTTCAAATTCAAAGTAAACTGTTGGACCAACGGACGACGACTGATTGTCCAAAACCTCTCCGTAGCAGGGTACACTTTCACCTACAGTAACAGACGAGAAGAACAACAATGACGAAAACCAGAAAGGATATGAATGGTATAGATAAGGATGACAATGATAAGGGTGATAAGATATACAGAGTGACCAACTCAATTCAAGGAGGCCACCGCTGGGATATAAAGCATTAATTTTACAGCCAACTTTATATGCGGGCACTCAGAACAATAAAAACAGAAAAATATAAAATTTCTTATCAAAATCCCTGTTTTTATGACAAATTCAGATTCTATGTAATTACAAAATGTATTGGCTATTTGTTTTTTGTTTAAAACCTAACTGTTTTGGTAACATTAGCTGTCATTGTTCTAACCCTTACATAAGGATTTTGGTCCGTAAATAATACATTAGGTAAATTTTGAGCTGTTTTTTTTTATTTTTTATTGTTTAGTTCAGTAGGTAAATGAAAAATATTCTACATTTCCTATATATTTATTAAGGAAAAATTATTATATTTACAAAGAAAATATCTTCAAAACAAAAAAAAAATGTTAGAACCAAAATACGTCTAATATTTGAATGTAAAATCAAATCAATAATAAATAAATAAGGTTTTTGATCAAAAGATGTCAAAGTTTACTGCAATGTTGGAAAAGAAGGAATTAGGCCTAATGCTAACTATTATTTCTGCTTTTACGGTTTAACTCATAATCATAGTTTCATTGAACAACTGAAAAATACATTTTTTTATTAGGTTGCCCTCTTATAATCTTGCAATTAGCCAGTCCACATAGACTATGGGCCTGTGCGATGAATTTATTCAGCAAAATTAAGGGGTAAGCAGTACAAGGGTGAAGGGGGATACAGTACAAGAGTAAACTGTCATGATAACAAGTAGTGGCAATTACCAGGATCTGAGCCCACGACATCGCTGCTTTGGACTCAAATTCCACCGACTCACCTAAACTGTAGCCTATAATGTATATTGTAAACTACATTGTGGATAATGTATAGCACAATCAAAACTACAACTAAATTTGAAATTACTCTATTAATTTAGATATTGATTAACCCTATGATAGCTTTAAATCTTTGTAAAACTGTTTAATTTGTTGGCTACATAAAAGGTTTTGAGTTTCATCCTTTGGCTACGTCTACCAAATAATCATGCGTAACCTTGACCTAACAGTTATGAACAAAAGAAGAGTAAATCTTCAATCTTGAATCTTTATAATCAATTCCAGTTGACACCTTGAGGCACAGAGAAGTAAGGTAAGAGGAAACTTGCTTGTAGAACTACTGTGTGCTTTCAGCTCTAGAACGTTGTGCCGAAAAATATACTTGTAACGAGCAAGGAAGAGCCTGAGCAGCGAGCAATGTGCGGAAACTCCTGTTGCTCAGGGTCTTCCTCCACTGTGAGTGTTGTAGTATATGAGGGCGAGGCATGAAGGTGTTGGAATTTGTCCTAGACACCAACGACAAAGTGCTAGAAACCATGTAATAAGTGTCTAATTTTTCATCTTTACCTAACTTCTCTGAGCTTGAGGTAATAAAAAATACAGAATATTATCATGCAGTATCATACCTGAGTTTCCAGCACAAGTCGCACTGGCTCCTTGATATCACCAACAACCAGATCCACAGCCACCGTGAGCCACAGCCTCGAGTCACGAGACGTCTCTACGTTGAGGGGCTCAAAAGCGTTTTCCCGCGGACTACACTGGCCGGCGATCACGTAGCACTTCTTGTCGTTAATCACTGCCGACCCCATCGACACCTGCAGGTTTAAGAAAATTAACATTAACAACAGAGGTTAACTGTAAGAAAGGACTATGAGGTCTTAAGTTCGACTCAATAAAGAAGGATTTTCATTTCGTTTCATTTCAAACATTTTACCATCAAGACAGAGCTTACCTTGCTTGTTAATCCTAGATGTGTGTGTCAGTTAAACAACATGTAAACAAATAAACTTACTAGGTATCAACTAACAGATATTCAACTATAATAGATATTAGAGTGTTTTTTGGTTGAATCTCAAGAAAGTCCTATCATAGATCAAATGTTTATTGCTATTTGTCATAGGCTATTATATCTAATTTGAAAGGAACGGACTGAGGTCCCAAGGAATGAATTCAACAGAGATGTTTATTATGAACATCTAAGAATTCTAACCACAGACCGTCCAAGTGGTCGTTAAAAAGTGTAGAGATCTGACAAGTGTAAAGAGTAGGGATGGTCAAGTCTCGAAATTTCGGGAAATTTTAAATCTCGTTACACGAGACGAGATTTCTTTTTGGCCGAGATTTTTATCGAGACGAGAATAAAAAAAAAAAAATTTAAATTTAAAAACGCCTGCAGAAAGTCAATGCAAACCCGCAATACAGGAGCGTGTTGTAGTTGCGTTTCCTTTGCGAAGGCGTTCTTATTTAATTAATTCTTTAAATGTAAATATTACTTTAATTATTTAAATAATATTACTTTAATAACATTTGAGAAGTTTTGTTAAGTGTAAGCAGTGTGAGAATGTTTTATTACTATAAAAAGTCAAAACAAGTAACTATTTTATAAAAATTAATATTGCTTTTATTTTATGATTTATTTTATTTTAGGATAAGTTGAACTCTATCCTAACTGATATCACTATGTTTTCTAATCGTAGGCATTTTTAATAAGTTAGGCGTGATTAATAAAAAAATGTTATGCTGATGTTTTTTAATAAAAGATTGTAAATATTCTTGCCTATTATCATTATTTTTGTATTTAAACAGTCATCTAACAATGTTACAAAATCAGGTAAATATTTTGAACGTGCATTTCCCGTTGTGTATGAGAAGGGAAATCCCGTCTCGATCTCGTCTCGAAATTTTATGAGAAATAAAAAATCTCATCTCGTCTCGTCTCGAACTAAAAATCCAATCTCGTCCATCCCTAGTAAAGAGCCTTATAGCTTCTCTTCAAGTAACGGACAATGATAGTCCAAGGATTCTGAACCTTATCTGCAAGTCCTGCTGGTAATTTTATGAAGGTCTCTTGGCTTAGAACCGTTATGAATTCCAGAAGACTGTTAAACTTCTGATTCCTAAAGCCATTAGCAAACCACAAAATATTTGGCGTTCCGCAATCTAGTTGTCTTGCTAATCGTATTAACGAGTAGGCATCTACACACATGTGTTGTTTTCTGAGCAACTGTTCGTTTTGGGAACAGCAAAAATATTTGTTTACTTTGATGTGTGCGAAAATACCAAAAATGAACGGGAAAACATGAGCACGAATGTTTGCTGCTTGCCAAATAGACAAACACCTATCCACACTAGACGTGATTCCTGTTCGGTGCTTGGCGAATGGCGCATGTCTTTGGCCATAATATATTTTAATAGATTATTTTGATAACTCATACTGTAAAATTGCATTTAGATCACACAAACATAAACATGAACACAGCTTAATATAAAAAGTAAAACATATGATATTGAAACAATGTACATTTAAACAGTTCAGAGGCAAAATTGTCAATGTTCCAATAAAAATGCTACACTTCTGGTAACATTCAACAACAAGAACACAATAGCAGCACACACTTAAAGTACGACAATTTCCACAACTGGAGCTGATCAAAACAAAACGACATCAAAGCTACATACCATCTCCAGTAGCTGCATGTCAGAGTGTTTGACGTTGCGGCCGGGACTGATGAGTACGCCAAAGCACCTCTCCACCTCCAAGGGTTGGTCTTTGTTGCCCATCACCTGCTGGATGGTCAGACAAACCTGCTTCTCTACGTTGACGCGAAGCTTGAAGCAGTTGCGATCTTTCGGCACTGGGTACCAACCTCCCTGCAGACAAAGGTTAACTAGGAGACTTGTCTACATTGAGGCATCTAAAATCTCTCATTCTCAATAGATCTGGTTTAAATCTGAGCTGCTATGTACTTTACTTCATCTACTACCATTTAATCTCCCACCATATATTATTAATCTCGTCATAGTAGCCGAAAACAAAAGAAAATCTACGCTCCCGCCAGGTACTAATAACTTTTGTGATTGGTTTTCTCAGGTCTAGGACACCAACGTGGGATTAGGAAAGGCTAGAAAGCTGTTTAGATTTTTAAAATAAGATTCAGCTTTAAGGGACTTTTTTGCCAGAGCCCACAATTTTCAACAAGAAATCTGTTGCTATATAATCTTCTGTGATTGCAGTTTTTAGCAAAATCCAGGCCTACTGTATTACAAGCCTAAAGTAGCCAATGAACCACTATGTTATTAAAATGCTTATTACATTATTCTTTATTGCATTATTGCATTGCTTATTACATTACATAGCTTATTACATTTCTAAACACTATGGGTGATTTTATGGCTCTCTAACCACCAGTTCAAATTCAATGTTAGATAAGAAGGTAGGTCGTTGTAAAATGTATTTAAAATTCAACTATCAGTGCAGGTCTCATACTATGCTGAAGAGTACACATATTCAAAAAGATGTAAACACATTATTTACTAAGGACGTTTTTTTTTTATTATTCAGATGAAAATTAATTCTCAGTGGTTTTTGTTTTGTCCTAGGACGCTAGGCACAAGCCTGGGATTGTTTTTCACATTACTTCAGGCTAGACCTAGGGGTGGCAGGATTATCACTTAGATAAAATCCATTGACTTGACGGGGATCGAACCCGTGACCTCAGGGACTGAAGTCCCGCGCTCTAACCACTACGCCAGCTCGCTCCCCCAATTCTCAGTGGTTTGGATAAATGAAAGTCGATATTAGTTTGAATAATTTCATCATAAAGAAATACAGACATTTTAGAACCCTGGTATTTCGAGGTTCTACTGTATTGGGATCTGATTTCACCCTCTACCTGGCATTGTAATACCAAATACAATAATCATCGGTCATTACAAAACAAACTGCTATGAAACTAACAGAGTCAAATCCCAAACTGGGTTTTGATTAATTACTAGAATTAATGTATATACGGAAACCCAAAACACTGATAGTGAATCCACATTAGCAAAATATTCAACATCCATCAATTTATAGGATTTTGTATTACCCTGACATCTTCTGAGTAAATGGAAAGTGAAAATAATGATGGTGAATCTGTTTGAACACCATATACATCATACAAAAGTACGCTAGTTATTTACCCTTCCGTCTTCCTCTTTGATCTCCATGGTGACTTCGAACACTGCCATCTGCAGACATCCGCTACGGCTCATCAGTTCCGCCTGATCTACAGACAGCAACTCTCCTTGCACTGAGGTGGTCATGGAGCGTGGCACTCGCTGGAACGCCTTGGTGAAACAAGCCGACACCTGACCCACCTGGGAACAATGGAACAATAATAGGTTAGAACAATAGGACGGAACAATAGGAACAGTAGATTAGGAGGGTGGGTGCTGAAGAATTGGAACGTTGGTACAGGATGAATACAATGAGTTTTTGAATTAACTCATTTTCGTTGTGTAAATGTAACACATACGTTAGACAGTAGATAATGATCTACTATACACATTCTTTAAAGGTATTTACAGTCCTCAGTAGATTGGGACAAAATGTTTTGGGAGTTGCAAACTAAGTTATCGCCCAAAATAGTTTTGACTATGTATGAAAGGTCTTGAAGGTTTTGTTTGGATGTGGTCTAGTAGATGATCTAAGTACAAGCTGGTGTACAAGCAGGTGATTTGTAAGACTGTTTCTTATTTCTTTTACTGTTAAGGCCGAGATAGTTTGGTGGGAGCGCAAATTTTTGGTGGGAGCGCAAATTTTGTAACGTTTTGTGAGTCGAGTTTATTAAGGACTCTTTGGTTTCCTAGGCAAAAACTGCATGAATTAATGCATGAATTTATTCTCTAATACAAAGAGACGCTCCTGAGAAGTTTTCTTGTATTTGTAGTTGAGGTCTGCTAAACATCTAACTGCTTGATTTTGGTGTACAATAGATTTTTTTGTTGACGTCTGACATTAGTGTTTTTGTTGAGCAAAAAATTCATTTTAATTTTTTGGGATGGGAAGTGTTTAGTTTGAAGAAGGAAGATGTATTTGCAAAAGGAAAAGCCCACTAATTATTACATTTTTGAAGGAAATCAATGTTTAAGTGATCTTAGATGTATGGCGACGAGCTATTTTTAACAGAGTGTTAAACAATCTTGCTGTTTTTTTAGTTAAAAAATTCACAATAAATCAACACTTACAGCCTCCGGTATGTCACATCTGAAGACGTAACATTGAAAGATAGACGACTCGACTGTCTCGCCCTGCGTGTAGGTGAAGGAGAAGCAAGCTGCCTCCTTAGACTCGGCTGTCCCGTGAGCGTAGAACAAGATGCGGTGAATCTGGTAGCGGGCCATCACCGCTCCAGCAGCATCGTACAACCTGGAAGAGACAAAGTAGAAAATTTACTTTACACACTAGGTCTTTAGGGCCCAACCATCCAGACATAAATTTTTATTGAAGGCTGACATTTCAACCAATGTACAGGCAGCCATCATTGGAGGAATACAATTTTCTCGCTAAGAGGTAGAGAAACAACTTGAGGTGAAAAAATCAAGACCTGGTTGACTCTTTAGGTTTTTGCTATGAAGGGCCATGGATCTTACTTAGTTTTTAAGGGGTTTATCCCTGCAACCAAGTCAAAACCATTTAAGGGGATAAGAGAGAATTCCCCTTCTTTTAGGTGTTAGGTAGTTATGATGGGTTAGGTTCCCTAAATAAGCTCCTGCTTAAAGATACATTCACAACCAAACCTATGATTTACAACCAAAAACGAGTCATTTTGTACACCCCTGAGATATCAGTTTACAAAGCCCATGCTTGATGATCTACACTCCTTAAAGTAGGTCAGGATTTTCTACATACAGTAGTTTTAAGAGACAGACTCAGGCTCCCGGCACATCAACCAAAGCTTATAAAATAGCTAAATGCAAATAGTGATTTAACACCTTGTAAATTTACAACACGAACGTACATTCAACTATACCTTAAACCTACTAGCTAAAGATTACAAGCTACTTTTTTGTCCTCTAGGATGTTAGGCTCTTCCCTGGGATCGTTTTTACATTGCTTCAGGCTAGGCCTAGGGGTTGTGGTACTATCACTTAGATCAAATCCATTGGTGACTGGCAAGGGAGCGAGCTGGTTTAGTAGTTAGAGTGCGGGACTTCGGTCCAAGAGGTACCGGGTTCAATTCCCGCCAAATCACCAATGGATTTTATCTATGTGATAATGCCGCAACCCTAGGTCTAGCCTGAAGTAATGTGAAAAACAATCCCAGGCCTAGCGTCCTAGGACAAAAAAAGAGAAAAAAATTTGTGACTGGCAGGATTTGAACCCGAGACCTGCAGGACCAAAGTCCTACGCTCTACCAGTAGAACAGCTAGTAGCTTCTCATCGGTTAAACACTACTGGATTGCACCAAATTTTAACAATTACAGAAAACCCAGCACAATTTTAAGTTTAAGCAGCTTGAATTCCAAACGAAGTTGCAACTATTGAAACATAGTGAATTAAACATGTACTTACACTACGCATCCATCAGAACAGCTGGGCACTGAGACAGATACTTTGATCACTTCCTGGTCCTGACTCTGGGCGTTGAGTATCGCCATGTTGCGATGAGTCTCCGTCTCACTCTTGGGCGCGTTTACACTCGCCGAGCCCAAGTACGAGATGCCGTTGAATATGGTGCAGTCTTGGTTAAGGTCACCTAGTGTGATGAGATAGACAGATATTGCGCAAGTTAGAACATGCTTATTTTTAGCGAATTTCCCATATAGGGAATAAGCTATTACCGTAGTACTCATGGTAAGACCTGGACGCGGGACCGATTTTTTTTTTGGTTTTGAGGTCCCTAGAGGCCAAAAACACCATCCGTTCAAATTCATATATATATATATATATATATATATTTATATATATATATATTTATATATATATATATATATATTTATATATATATATATATATATATATATATATATATGTGTCCGTCAGCACGATAACTCGAGCAAAAATGATCCGATTTTGATGAAATTTGGTACAAACGTGTAAACGTACGTTTATTCGAACGAGTTCGCGATCCAGCATGATCGGACCATGGGAACGGGGGTTTACGGGGGGTTTTATGGGGTAAAAATAGGTTTTTCCCATTTTTGACCTAAAAAACATAAAATTTAGCAATTTCTTTCCAAACCATTTTGTAGAGCTTATAAAAACAAATAATTTAGTATATTGAAGCGTTATTATGCGCCTAATGGTTACGGAGAAAATTCAAACAAATTGTAAATTTAAAATTCCCATGTTATTCTTATGGAGAATAAGTAAACTGTTGTAGTTTGCTTGTTTGTGAACATATTTTGATCAAATTTGGAAAATGTTTTTATTTCTTACTAACTATTCACATTTTACAAAAAAAAAAAAAAACAGTTTTACCCTCCCTGATGCAGCAAACCTAAGTACTTGTTAAACTAATTCTATTTAAATCAAGAATAAATGTTATATTTTTAAGTAGACATTTCAGTGTAAATACAATCAGTCAAATGGAAATTCGCTTAGTCTGCAGGTTTGCTGCGGCGGGGGTATTTATGTAGTTATGTTGATTCAGGTGTTTTACCCAAAATGGAAATCCCAACTTTGTACAGGAAGTATATTTATTTTAAGAACCCTGAGTTAATATGGAATACTCGGTTATGTTTTGGTTATAGTCACCTGATAAGATCGGATTTCAGTTAGACATTTTTTAAAGTGTTTAAACACCTTGAGAATTGTTTGTCCAAACCCTGATCCTGTAACCCAACATCGACCTTTTGTTTGACAGTATATTTTAATCAATTGAAAGCTCAACAGCAAATAATATCTAGGTCTTGAATCAATCTCGCTTTGGATCAAACGAGCAACCATCAGATTTGAAGGCGAGCTCTATAATTACCTCAATACAGTCTGTTTAGTTCTAAAAAAATTATTCTTTTGCAAGGACCACTCTTCGAAGGCTTAAGGATCAAGGATAGTAGAGTTTAATTTTTAACTTTAAAATAGCTTATAAATGGGGTGAATCACTTTATTTTACTGTAGGCTATTGATCCTACTAATATTATAAATGAGAAAGTTTGGATGTATGGATGTATGGATGGATGTATGGATGTATGTTTGTGACAAGTGAACGTGAAAAATACTGGTCGGATTGGGCTGAAATTTGGCATGATGATAGCTCACATTCCTGATTAACATATAGGCATATTCTATATCAAAAATCCTTTCGGGCTCCGCCCCAGTGGCTCTGGAGTTTCCCATGTTAACCTTATGAGAAATGGAATTATTGAATCTTAACAGCTGTTTCAATTAAACAAGTTGGTTCTGTTCTATGATGTTCAATAGCATTAAAGTTACAAGGATTACCAACAGGGTGCAGCACTATTATTTCTTTTACATTTATGACAACAGCTAATTTGCAACCAAAAGGTGAGTGAGCGTAGCGAACGAACTTCAACCTGGAGGCGAGTCAGCGTAGCGAACGAGCTAACCTGAAGGCAAGTGAGCGCAGCGAACGAGCTCCAACCTAAAGGTGAGTGAGCGTAGCGAACGAACTTCAACCAGGACGTGATTGAGCCATGCGAACGAGCTCATCTTGAAAATGAACGAGCATGTGACATAAAACCACAATAGGACAGGACGACGTCTGTCGGGCCAGCTAGTAGCTTATAAATGTGGTGAATCACTTTATTTCATTGAAGGCTTTTGATATTTAATCAAAGACAGGTTTTGGTTCCTTGTGCAGCAAATCAGTAACTGTGTTAATGTAATTTATATTGGATATGAATCTAAAAGTAAATTCATTCATATTTTTACCGGTTTGAATGAAAATTCAATAAATCAACTTCAAATTTGTTTAGTCTGTAGATAAGCTGAGGCATTGGTATGTCATAATATTTATGAACAATTAATTAAAATACCGATAATCCTTCATCATTTTTGCCACAACAATGATTAAAATATTTTCAAATACGAATCGCCTTTGGTTTCCAAAATATAAGTATGGTTAAACAGTTAAAACAAATGTTTGCATAAAAAATCAATATTAAATTAAGCTTTAAATCAAATATTTTTTTATACACAAAGGAAGTTAACTCATCAAAATCTGTTGGCTATATAAAATAATGCGATAAAACCCTCCAGTAAAAAAAACAAAATTTAAATCTTAGTGTGACAATGTATACACAAGACTATTCAAGCAGTCAACTAGTGTTGTATGCTGAACTCAAGTCATTTTTTATTCACCGAGTCTAGCCACATCGGCCATATGTGTACCACTAACACACATGGCAGCGTACACAGCTGGTTACAAAACATGTATTCAAACAGATGAAGAATACCTAAGACAATTTAAATGTGGTTAGCCTTTTTGTTATTGACAAAACAATTATCTTAAAAAAAATAAAAAAAAAATAAAACCAATAATTAAATTCAATTTAGATCATTTAATTACTCAATTAGACCTAATTTGATTTTAATAACAAGCTCAAGCAGTTTCATCAATGAACAAACATTTTATATGGATAAACATTTGCGGTAAGAATATACAGTACAGTTTAGTAGTAGGATATGTTTCACCTTCTAATTTTAGCACCTAGGTGGCGTCCCACCTCAATAATTGATAATAATTTGATAATTGAATAATGAATTGAACAGAAACGATTAAAATGTTATCCAAGTCTGTAGAAAAAAAACATGGAGTTAGTAGAAGCACTGCTTATTGTTGGTGAAAATATAGTAATTATTCCAAAATTGAACACTTTGAATTTTCTTTGATTGGTTGGGAAATTAGTTTTAATTTAAATTGTTTCCCTTTTCAACAATGTTTATCACGTCTACTATAAAAAAGCTACATTATAGATCTAAAGCCTACTGCAGTAGCTAGTGAAGAAGGATAGCAACAATTCAATTAGCCAGGACAATAAGTACCAGCCGCTGCAAAAGGTTATGGTGTACACTACTTTTTGTTGTCGCTATTCTTCCCAAAGTACTGAGCCGATTTAAACTAAAAGTTTTTTTAAGAGGCGGTTTGGGAGCTCGAGCCCAGCTAGTACGCGCCTAGTGTTAGACGCGCCTAACTTTAGTCCCCGGACCAGAAACCAGGCTTGGGAGCTCGCGCCTAAGTTGAAATGGTCGTAGATCAAGTATAGTCGCGCCTAAGTTGCAGCGCCGCTAGATGGACAGGGAATCGCGGGGTATTCAGGTTTTGACGTTGGCAACGGCCATTGCAGAACCCGTTACCGTTGACAACAACAAAAGATGAACACTTATTGAAGATGGATACAATTTTATCTTGGTATATCAATGGTGGCTAATTAGTAGACTATGGTGTATGTTTCTGCATTGTACCATTGCAAAAATGTAGTTTTGTAAGATCGTTGTTTTACATCCCAATGACTGAAGAACCGTAATTGTTTATATTAAATTCTTTTAAGATCTAACTTTATTTTCACTTTACGATTTATAATTATTTAATCAGTTGTCTTTAAGTACTACTAGTTGTCTTTTAAGTACCATACCTTATAAATACATACAGAGCAACATAGGATTAACATCGGAAACTCGGTTTCATGCAATAAAAATCTTCAAAATTAAACAGTAATTTCCCAGTATATAGGGGTATTGACAAAAAAAATAATAAAAAGTAATTGCGGAGGTTATGATTGTGTGAAGCCAAGGTAAATGTAAACAAATATCTTTTAGTACAGTACTTAGAAAAAATTGTTGTCAATTTAAAATCTTTTTTTACATGACACTCTTTTATCTAATTTTCCTAGGGAAGTATCTATTACCGTAGGTAGCACTTAGTTCCGGGACCGATAAACTTTTCCATTTTGATGTCCCTAGAGGCTAAAAACACTGTTCGTTCAAAATTTTATATATGTATAGCCTATATATAATGTATTATATATACGTCCATAAACGTGATAACTTGAGTAATTTTTGTCTGATTTTGATAAAATTTGGCATGAAAGTGTTAGGCGTGATTCTCCTTAATGAGTTCGCGAACCAGCATGATCAGACCAAGGGAACCCGGAGTTGTATTGGATAAAAATAGTTTTTTTCTCAATTTTAACCCCTATAACATAAATCTTTGTCTTTAAAATATTTTAAAGAGCATAAAAAACAAATTAATTTCTTAAAATGTTTTGTACGGTTATTGGCTACAGAGACTATTGGTAAAATTGTAAATTTTAAATTCCCATGTGATTCTTATGGAGAATAAGTTAACTGTTCTAGTGTGGTCGTTTATGGATATATTTTTATGAAACTTGGCAAATTTATTTATTTTTTATAAAGCTGTTAATATTTTGTTAAAACACACTTTATCACCCTCCCAGTAGCAGCATACCTACACCGTAGGTAGTTTCAGGTGCTTGTTATAATTATTTTGCTTATTGCAAAATATTGCTTATTGATATACTGTATATATTTTCTTATACTCCAAATAATCTAGGTACTCCATTTTGATGTAACTAGCACTTGGTCAATGACACTGAACTGAGCTCTATCACAACGCAATTAAAAGATGACGATTATGACTGTGAGCTATTTGCAGTTTTTTATGTTTTGTTTACTATCTCTTCACTCTTTCGTAGGGGGGTGAGTGGGGGGTATGCATGTGGTTGCTAATTATTTCCTTACTAATAAAATATTTATAATTAAGGTATGGGTGCT